GTTACGTGACTGATTGATTTCCAGGGATGATCTAAATTAATGAATCGTATTTGTTTTTCCTTAATTAAATAACAATATTTGGAGAAAAATGGCCCTGGCCCGAAAACCCTGAGTGATATGAATAAGCATTGTTACCTACAGAAAAACTTCTTTACATGAATAACTAATTTGTACAAAATTTTATTTAGGTAATTGAAATATACATTCATTTATATTTAATAGGGGGAAAAGATCGGGAGGTTTTTTATTTTCTTAGATAAGTGTAGAAGAAGAGGGTCAAAAGTGGCAAACATTGTGTTACGTATTAAACTGGACATACGCATTTTACATCAATAAATTAATGTAATCGTAATGTTTCCAATCCGTGAATATAAGATACGGACAAAATCATTCACGATAAAAGATATAATATCAAACGCACTTCTAATTTATCAGCGTCTGATTTTGTCGTGATTACATCCGATAACTTCAAAGTGTGCCATCCTTGCTCATAACATAGAAAATGAAAAAGATAATGTTAGACCATAGCCTAGTTGGACGCACAGAGTTATCGATTTAATAATTCAATTTGGTACTTGGAATTCACCAAACCAGTCGATTGGAACGAGCAAGCAATTTGACAAATAAGTATTTTGTCTCATGTATTTGCTTAAATTAAGTCCCAAACACAAATGTTGTTATTGTGAATTGAATATTTGAGAGGGTCCGCTTCTATTTATCTGCAAAATCTTGTCAATATTGACGAAAATGTTGAGTGCACAGCATGTTAGGTTGGTACTCTTTATTTTTTTATGTTGGTATTAATTTTTCACGCAATGATAAAAATATGTTACAAACAGTAATTCTTAAAGGCCGGTCTCTTAAAACGATAGTTTTTACATACTCTTTGACGCGAATATGCATCAACCCTTATAATATGTATTGTAAGCGAGTAAGCGCATCATCTTTACCGTGACTGTACTTACATAAAACCCGTAATAAATAAAGCTATCAAGCGATATTTTCAGCGAATAAATAAAAATCACTTCCCACAAAGATTAACGATTCAGAAAGCGAACCAGCCAAGTAGAACGGGTGTCAATATAAATTAATAAAACAATTACACTGCCCAATGCGACTCTATCGCATGTGAGCTAAAGCGTGATCCTATACAATTACTGAGCGGTGGCATTGACCCTGCAGCTTACACGGTGAAAAGTAAACACCTATAATAACACCGTTCGCGGATATCTCATACATAAACCAAATCGTATTTTTTACACGACAGGCCATGTGTTTAGGGATAATGAATGAATGAATGAGTTTCTCAATTATTACTTTTTAATTTTTTTTTTTTTTATGGATATGAATCTTAGATATTTCTGATCAAATCGAAGCCCATGTTGTGACGCGTGAGCCTGCATAAGGCATGGTTGAGAAATCGCCTGCCTAGAAAGGTTCTTTGATACACTTGAGTCACAATAAACTAATATTTTTAGTGTTAGTACCCGACTGGGTAATAAAAGGGACCCGTTATTAAATTAAGACTCCGCTGTCCGTCTGATTGTCTTTGTCACCGGGTTGTATTTCATAAATTAATAGTAAGACAGTTGAAATTTTCACAGATGATGTATTTCTATTCCATTGTGATAAAAAATATAAAAAACAGTGTAAAATAAATATTTAAGGGAGGGTCCCATACAATACACGTGATTTTTAATCAAGATGTGCGCAAGTCCGACTCGCACTTGACCGATTTTTTATATTTACGGCGTGCGGATGAAAATTCAACCAAATCTTAGATAGTAGAAAGTATATGTAAATTTAGAGCACCTTCGTGTCAGGTTCCGTGGTGTAGTGGTTATCACATCTGCTTTACACGCAGAAGGCCGCCAGTTCGATCCTGGCCGGAATCACATTTTTTGTGAGAATTTTTTTTTTTGCATACTCAAGGCATTTTTGTATGTTACAAGCTGGTATAAACAGACAGACTCCATATTAAATACCAGTGACCATAAACTATCAATGGATCTCAGACTTTTTGAACTAGGGAATATTTTGAAAACCAACTAGGTATTTACATGGAACCTTAATTATTCATAAGCTGTACATGTTAAATTAGCTTTTAATTTAATGTGTACAGTTTATTAATAATTAATTTAAATTTGTCTAAAGATGACCAATTATTTCATGGACCCCAAAAATGTACTCCTAGGGTTACCATTTATGTACAAGCACCACAGTACAGACAGAATACCCATGAGGTACAGTCAATTGGTATTCTATCTTCAGGCCATAAAATATTATCTCAAAAGAATTTATTTTCTGAGGTTCTTACATCAGATATCAATTCCCTAATGATATAATAAAACATCAGAAAATGATTTGCTTTTAGATGCCAATTACTGCTTTATTATGAAATAAAATAAAAAAAACAATTAGCATTTTAAATGCAAGAGTCAAATAAAATAATTCTTCAATTTATTTAAAACCTAACTGTATCATGAGTAGAATTGAAATAATCATTATTTAAGTATTTTAGCTATTAGCTATCATTATATTAATTACTTAGTTTCTATAGTCATTGAAGACAGCAGTATAGCCAGGGTTCACAAAAATCTGATATTTATTATAAATATCAAAATATAGGACATTTGATATTTAGGTATCAAATATGTTTCGGATTATATTGTGCATATGAAAAGCTGCGATTATTAAATTGCTAGTGGCTTTATTTAATATTTGATCTTTTAAATCACTTCGCATTCATATTACGGTGAAAACTCACAATTTTTAAGTAAGTAAGATTGCTTTGGGAAGACTTCAGGTCAATTTAGCCAGTGTCACATTGGGTTGATTAATTTTCTAGCTGAAACTCAATAACTCAAACTAATGATAAATAAATATATATCCATTGATATTTATCAGCAAATCTTGATATAAGCAAACACATCAAACAATTTCATAAATAGACAAATGAAATCATAAACAAACAAATCCTTATATTTTCAAAGTATTTTTTATCAATATATGTAATAAAAATCAGATATATCCAAATATACCTCTTTAAAATAATATATATCAAAATTTGATATAGTATACATAAAAATACTTTTTTTTTTGTTTTTAATATTTTCTTTCTAAACCTAGCATAAATAATATGTTATTGCAACTTATACATTACTCCTTTTATAATTCAGTAAAATTTTAAAATCAAAAAACTACTTAATTGATTTTGATAAAACTTGTAGTGTTATCCGAGTTGAAAGCTAAGCAATTACATGGAAAAACATACATGCACCTATAAAATTTTGCACATACTTTTAGAAGCCCATACAGACTAATAGGTATATATGAATATTTTGCTATTCCAACAAAATTATAAACATACACCTTAAATTGATAACCTCTTTTTTAAGTTAGTTAAAAAACTTCAAAAACAAAATTAGGAAGTTGCAATTAATGTAACAGTTTGTGAGGGCAACTCAATTTTTTTTAAACTTGTTCAAGTTACAGTCACTGAGTGACTAATCAAATGAACACAATAATGTAACTAAAATATGTGTAATGGGCATTTTTGATCACACAATTAATTAAACAACCTAAACTAATATTATAAATCTAAAATTGATGACCTTTGGTGCAGAGTGGCTCGCACACAGGTTTCCAGGTGCTGCCATCTCTGAGAAGATCAGCACGCGTACCATGACAACCCCGAGAAATGCTATGTCTACACCCAAATGTTACTTTCTCGGGTCAAGAGTGAGATATCGTATGAGTGCACCCAAAAAAAGCGTACTGGTCAGACACAATCAAGTCAATGTATTAAGTGTTTTTTGATTTTGGGATCAAGATGTTATGGTACCTTCATGGTTTTTTGTATCTATAGAAGTGCTCAAAGCCACTTAATAAATGTAAGCAATTTTGTCTAACAATTAGGTATTTATTACTTAAACAAACTCCTGTTTTAACACCTTAGCCACTGAATGTTGAGGATATGAATAACTTTTTTTTGGAATGACAAGCAGATAAGTCTGTATTGAGAACCAAAATTAATTATTATATTGGTAATAGAAAACATAACACTTGTTTTTTTTTTCATGAAAATATATGTAGAAATATTGTTGTCTCCATCACAACATACTGTTGTCCTAAGTGAATTATTAGCAAAATTAACCATACATTCTTTTGTTATTACTGCATCTTACTGGACATAAGAAAAGTTGAATAGTTCCAAGAGGAAAGGAGTAAAGTGAAACACATGCTTTTTTTATTGCATTTTAACATAGTATGTATTCAATTTTTAAATAAAATAATAAGTTAAATATCCTTGAGCATGAATGAACATTATTATTAAACTTTTTAATCAAGATCCAACTTCTAAGAGACTACTGATAGTGGAATTAAATATAATTACACTGATCAAATGTATTAATTTCTATACTAAGACTAAGCAATACAGAAATGAACAAAAATAAGTCTTATTACACAGTAATCAGTAATCACAGCTGTGTTCAATGTTCTTTATCTGTGATGTTATCTGATTTCTTATCATTAATTTCATGAAGATATTTACTGATAACAAAGTAAACAATTATATTTTACTACTAAGAGAATAATGCCCATTATGTAATGAAAAATAAAGAAACAATACTCAGGAATTAAAGGTACATGCAGCCAATGGAAATGATTATCAGAATACAATCGATTCTTGAAGAATGTGACCCAAGGCCAAAGTATATTGCCTAAGATGACTCTAATTAGGTAAAAGGTCGGCAAGTACAGAGTTGCTATATAACTCGTAATGATATCAGCGGCAATTTATATGATTTAATGAGTCATTCGTCCGGCTGTATGAATTGATGTACCGGTCGCACAATACACTACGAAGCTATTGTAGAATACAGAGCAAGAAATCTTTATTTAGATGAAGCAAAAACACGACTGAACATCATGCTGACATCAAAAGTACATTTATTTGCAAACACGCACAGAGGCGAAGGCATGCGAAAGAAACTCACCTTGTCCAAACATTTTAATTCCTCAGTGGGATAAACTGTTTTCTCACACCTTGCACAAGTTTTATTCATCTTGTTTGTTCTCTAATTCACAAGTACAAATGCAAAAATAACACAGTTATTTCACAGAGCAACACAGTATTAACACTATTCACAAAGTTTTAAGTTTACTTTACTGGAAAAACACTCAAGAGCACAACTTACGTTGAAATCTCTTACGCGCATGCCAAAAAATGACAAATGGCGGCATAGAATGCTGCCAACTTGGCGCTAAATTTCTACTAAAATAATAACTATGCTACTATATTCTACTATATTTAAAAAGCTTCGTGATAATGTTAAAATATCAAAAAGGATAAGATTATAAAACTATAATTTAATGAATTACAAAATAAAAAATAACATTAAGATAAAATAAATATTTAAGAACATAAACATTTTTCTCTTTGCAAAACTGCTAGAGCTTCATTAAATAATTGCTTAGATGTTTGAATCATATCAGTCAAATGATTATAATCTTCTTGTTTTTCTTCTTCAATCATTTTTAATTTGTCTTCCATTATTTTAAGCTTCTCTTCGCATAATTCCAGCTTATATTTTAAATCTTCTTTATCGAGACTATCATAATCTACCGCCTGAGATTCAGAAGAAGATTCACTAGGTTTTTCTGCAACGGCGGTAATGGAAGATTGCTTTTTAGTAACTGATGTAGATCCCATTGTAAAATCATATTGAAGTTCTTTTATGGACATTTTTGAAACTCTGGCACCTTTTTTAGAATCTTTTAGAATTTTCACTTCATCTTCAAGGTTACCGATTTTTCTTTCGAGACGTCTCTTTCTTTCTTTTAATTTTCGATTTGTAGTTTCGAGTTCCTCCCATTTATGTCGCTCAGCGTCCAATCTTTCATTAAGAGTGACTACTAGTTCTGAGAGTTTTTTAATTTCATTATCAGTAGCTGTCTTCATAGGAGTGAAGAACACACTTTGTAACGAACATTCTTCATATCTCAATAACTGTGCTCTGAGCTCATCAATTTTCGTTGCTTTTTCAGTAGCTTGTTTCCGTAGAGCGTCTATTTTAGCGTCAGTATTCTTCATTAATTTTTGATTTTCAGACATTTCACTCTGCATTTTATTCATTTTAGCAGTATTTTCTTTAAGGATTTCTTGGTAATATAGTTCAAGACTTTTAATTTGATTCTGTAATTTAATAAAAGGTTGAAAATAGATGTTTAATGCATTATTATAAATTAGTAAAATAAATATAATATTGAAAACTTACTCGTTGTTCATTAATAAGCAAATCATCATGGTTACTTTTTTCAACAAATGTTTGCATTTTCTGTCTGATCGTGGTCGCGTCACATTCCAAGTTTCTGATCCTGCATTTAGCCCCATCTAATTTTTTCTTTAACTCCTGATTAACTTCTTTTAACGTTTCAAGATCCTTCATGGCCTGCTCCATTTCTTTCTTGCGTTTTATTTCTATTTCCCTTATGATCTGAAAATTTTTACTATTTTGAGCAAAACTGATAGCTCTTTTATTGTTATTTTTTAAATAGGCCAAGGTATTGACCTTATGTTTTTCACGACAACGTAATAATCCTATTGTAAATTAGTTACAAAATTCAATGTAAATCAATATTACCTGGGTCTGGTCTCTCTTTTTTGCTTCTATCAAATCTTTATGCTTCCCGTTCAATTTTTCTTCTAATTCACTTATTCTTCCTTGTAAAAGAATTATTTGTTGAGCTCTTCCTTTCCAACCAGCTAAATCATTTTGTAATTCTTTTATACTGGTAAATTTATCTCCGAGTTCTTGCTGTAAAATCTTGGTAGCAATGAGAATGTCGTTTTTTAATTCTAGATTTCTATTTTTGCTTTCATAAAGTTTTTTATTAACCGCATTGAGTTTAATATTTAGCTCTTTCAGTTCGTCAGAATTAGTATCAGGAGGGTCTTCTTTACACAAGCAAAGATCTAGTTGTTCGTGTTCTTTATTAATTAAGTCCAGTTGCATTATTTTTCTTTCTAAAGTGGCATTTTTAGTTTTATATCCCTCTATTTCAGCAACTAAATGTCGATTTTGCTTGCATAATTCTGTTATTTTAGCGCTTATAATACCAGCGGACTTAGAAGATATGGCGGGTCCTGTTCCTGATATTATATCTCTGATACGTTGATTAAGTTCTGATACTGTTGCATTGAGTTCTTTAATTTCTTGTTCTTTCGTAAACACACATTTGCGAAGCTGATTATTCTCGCAGGTCATTACCTAAAATATATAGGTTTTATTGGTAAAATGTGAAAGTTTCTCTGTTGAGTTGAGGCTGCAAATAAGGTGTGTACATATGGTCATACTTAAACTACAATTTAGTGCGTAGGTTAATAATTGGAAGACTGTTCTTCCAATTGAGATCACTTAAAGCTTAAAAAAGGTGGCTAAACCAATCGCCGACGGATACATAATGACTACGTTTTTACCTCTGTTTACCACCCACACTTTATCGAAAACATACATCTTACAGGGCTGATCTACTATTCGTACTTACGCACTCTCTACTACGTTTCAAACTTAATCAATAGATTGTTGAAACGTGATGATGTTATTGACGTGGAGATAACTTGTGATTTGAAATAAATTGGTGTCCTTGTGTATAGCGGTGCCGGAAGAAGATGGCTACTTACAACTCTCAATGTGGCTGTCTGAATCTGCATTAAAGGCAATATCTTCGTCTTTTACAGTAAACTAATGTGACTCACCGACACATAAGACTTTTCAATATAAAATCTAAATGATTCAAGTAGTGCACTATCGGGTGAGCATTTATGCATGCCACATATACCTAATGCGTTGTTTTACACTTTAATGTTTTTAAAACAAGACTGCTTGCAATATTTTTCATAATTATTTTTTATTACATAATTGCTGGAACTTATTATGCAGTCACCAGCGCGCCAGGTAACAAAAACTATCATTCCACTCGATTTTAGACCTTAACATTACGTGGGTAGGTAGATGTCAAAATCTACCGAGACATATTGTTGTAACATGATGTTCAACATTGCGTTCAACCATGAGTACTTTTATCTGTTAAATGTTAAGATGATCATTTACCTTTATCTGTTCTATCAAATGGGCATTCAATTCAGGAGGATATAAAATATCATCAGAGTCTGGTTTTTCTAGTGCCGCTAACATTTTGAGCTTCATTTCATCAGTTTCATCGATTTTATTTGCTAGATCATTTATTTTGTCATCTTTGAGATTAGACTTGGACCTATTTTTGGTCGTAGCATTAGTTTTTTTAGAATTCATCGTTATCATTAATTCCCTATATTTTGGTAAAAGCTATGACATAACACTAAGCAAAGAGTAAAATAAATATTTGTTTATTGGCTACTTCTCAGCAACGGTAAACATCAAGAAGTTTTTATATTTTACAGAAACATCAAGATCAAATCCAAGTTTCTTTTTGTGAATAGGCTAGTTAAAAAGTAAAAAACTTCAAATAAATTTAATCTTTGTTTAAAGTATCAATATAACCTTCTTGGTGTCGTCTAAGCGAATGCTAGGTTAGCATTCGCTTGTTGGGTCCATGGTGGGTCATTAAAATTTTAACATCTTTCAGTCTCAACTTACGGCAAAGGTACATTTCTAATTTCTTTATTATTAAAATATATTTATTATCATATTATAAAACTTAAGCAATTTTAAATTTTACTTTGATCAATAAACCTTTCTTAATGCTAACCTAGATAATGGATTTTTTTAATATATCTACTATTTGAATTTTTTGATTTATTTTGAACAATCAAAACCAAACCCAAAGAGAATTAAAATATTATGCGTTATGGTTCTATTGTTCTAATGGAAATAGAAAAAATATCTTAAAATGAGAATATAAGCTAGATCCCTTGCCCTTATTCAATTAAAAATAGAAACGAATATATCAAATGAACTGTCATATCATTACTGTCACTGTCAAGCGCATTAAAAATAGTTTTGGGCGTTTGATGTTTGAGTCTGATTTCTAACTTTTGAGAATTAATAGATTCTCTAAATCAATAAATTCGTAATCATTTAATTGCACCCGATGGGAGCATGAAAGTTTATTTATTTTAACACTGTTAACCTGCCTTTTATCACAACCAATACCAGGTAACTAAATAATCTTATTACGACCCTGAATTCTATTATCATATTGTTATTCAAACAATTGATGTTATATTTATCAACCAATTAGTTATCTAACTAACGCATATTGATAATTAGGATGATCATCTCTCCATAGAAATTTAAAGCATTTACTGAATAATTTAATATTGCACTGTTACAGCAATGCCTGGCACGAACCTCATAGTTCCAGTGGTCCTCTGGGGCAAGCATGCCCCTACTCACTGTATTTCCTCTGTGTACCTGTCACGTGACCAGAAGACGTTAGTGACCGGATGCTACGATGGCCAGATCTGTATTTGGCAGGTGCATCCCGACAGCTTGAAGATGACACCAAGATGTCTCCTTGTGGGGCATACAGCACCAGTAACATGTCTGTCACGCGCTTCGATTATTCAAGTGATTATCATTACAAAGTTTTTGATTAAAGTTATAAACTATAGAAACTTAAATGGTCACTAATTAATGTAGAATTTAAATAGGTATTTTTTTTTTGTTATATGGTTAAATAGCTAAGTTTTTTGTAAATTTTTGTATAGGTTGAGGTATTTTAAGAATTTTTCAAAAATAGAGGATGCCATAGTATTATGTGTTGAATGTTAAAGTATACATATCATGAATAGATAGATTTTGAACTTAATATTCAATTAGTTAAGCTTTGAAATAGAGTGGCGAAAATTCAGGTTTGTAAAACTAGAAATACCGTGACAAAATATACTAGACAAATATATACAATATCATGCAGACTTTATTGCTATCAGTTGCATGACAAACCATAAGAAAGAAATTGAATAGAACATCCTCAGATTATTAAGTCTTCTCCGCCTAGTAAGAAATGTGCTTTTGTAAAGTTTACATAAACATTGGTAACTGGAGCCTTGAATAGGCAGATTACTTACTGTCCTTAACCTTAACCTTAAACATATTGCTGGTTTTTCAGGATAACAATTACATAGTGAGCTCATCGGAGGCTGGAGAGATGTGCACCTGGGATTTAGTGGATGGTAAATGCAGAGAGAGTGTCAAATTATCTCATGTCCACACTAACATACAGGTATAAATTTATGTAATGGGTATAGTTTTGTCTGTCCTAAGAAAACTGATACATCTTCAAAACGTGAACTTTAGAGTTAGGTAATTTTTCTTTAAAATATAAAAAAAGAATAACATTCATGGTTAAAACTTTTAGGCAGATTAAGTTAGTGTAGTATTTTTTAGAGTATGACTTATTACTATTTGGTGTTTTTGAGTAATTATGCTGATGTTGCTAAATCATAATCAATATGCTAAATCATATGCTGGTAATCATATTAAATGATAGTGGTGTATAATTATTAGAAATATATAAATATGATAAAAATGTGCATTAGGTAGAAGTAGGGTATTTTTTCTTATCCTAATGCAGTAAAAAATTATGTCAGTCTTCACAGGACACACAGAATGTTTTTTTACACACAATTTAGTAACATTGTCTGTTCTTGATTCTGTTAAAATTAAAACATGAATGTAAATTAAATTTGATATTGTTTTGCATTATACTACATAATATTATTATAATATTTTATTCAAAGATGTTAGGAGAATTTTTGCAACTGTAATGAAATCTTGAATAAATAAGTAATTAACCCGTCACGCGATTAAGTCACAAAACGCACTTGAAGCGTTTGCACACCTGTGTGTTCAAAAAATCGCGAGACGGGTTAATGAGGAAATTTTAAATGTATTTATATAAATTACTTGAAAAGAGGTTAATTACAGCAGTATCAGATTAGAAATATTGTTGCCTTTCCATTTCAAATGAAATTATGCTGTGTGTTTATTATAGGCATACCACATGTGTAACAGTGAAGATCTGCGCCTGTTCTGCAATGGTTACTATGCAGAGATACTAATAATGGACCCTTTTTCATTGGAGATTTTATTCTCCTTAAGTTCTAAGATGAACCCTGATTGGATATCAGCATTGCATGTGAGTGTTTTGATTTTTTTTTATTGTAAAATGTTAACAATGCGTTTTAAATTTTATTCTCAACAAATAAAGCTTTAAATAAATTTTATTTACAGGTTTGTATAACCTAATGTGCTGTTGATTAACGTTGTTTTGATTACAAAATGATATCATGAATGTGTTTTTATCTGTATGATCTTTCGAATTTTAGTAATGTTGCTGTTGTTCTAGGTCCTACGTCCATCTTCCAGGAAGGATGACGTTGTACTGGCTATTTCTATCACTGGAACTGTTAAAGTGAGTCTTGTGGCTTATTTGTGTGGATTCAGTATTTATTGGCACTGTCTAAATGTGTGTATTGATCTTTATAATGTTCATAAAATTCAAGTCACATTCTTGTATATATATATTATCAGCCCTTTTATGTCTCCATTGCAAGGGCTCAGGCCTTCCTTATGGATGATTAAAGTCACCCATGACCCTCCATGCTGGCCCAATTCGAATTGGAGCGTATTAACGACTGCTAGTGCAGCCGAGACCAACGGCTTGACGTGCCTTCCGAAGCACGGAGTAACTCGAGATAGTAATTTTTTGGTCACCCATCCTGTGACCGACGCTTGTGAAGGTTAACACAACATTCGCGGGCGACGGCGCCTATCCACTACGCCACCGAGCTACTCAAATATTGGGATATTTAAATAATAAGAACATTACCTTCTATTGGTAGGTATTGAAATATATTGTCAGTGTCACTGTCTCATGGAGGTATTACAGATAGTTCAAGATACACTGTCTGTCTTTCTTTACTTATATGCATAATTACGGAACATATAGTTCAAAAGTTTATAGCTGTCCTTTACTGTGTTTGCATTAATAGAGAGAGAAAAAAGTACTGCAATCTTTTGCAGCATTATAAAGATTAGAATTATCAGCCGCTGGATTCCCGGATTTGACTATGTATACTGGATACTGGCTTTGTATATCATCTGTATAAATAATAGTACTGTAAATATTTTCGGAACCCCTTTTTTCTCTTCATTTAATCATCTTACTATTATTATAATTCAAAAGGGCTGCCTTCTTCCAATATTTTTTTCTACACTATACACTCATATTATAAAGAAGAACACTTTGTTTGTAATGAATAGGCTCAAAAACTACCGGACCGATTTTAAGAATTCTTTTACCATTCGAAAGCTACATTATCCACGAGTAACATAGGCTATATTTTATTTTGGGAAGAATAGTAATTTATTTCGTACGCTGCCTTAGCTATAAAAGATAGAACAATAAAATGTTCTAATTAATTGTAGATCTTATAAATATCTACAATAAAGTCCACGACACACTAAACCTATCTATGTCGGGTGAGGTAAACAAACCATTTTTTTATTTAAAAATCTTGTGTTTTTTTGGACTACATTTAAACGCGTTTATATTACTCATGCTATTAATCCTTATCAAAATAAATGATTTCATCACTAAGTACAGTTTATGTAGATAATATTTTGGTCTTTGAATGATTAAAATTGGAAGTTTGGTTTTGAAATTATGGCAAAATTAAAATATTACGATTTCTGCTTCACGGCCCGTTGCGAAGTGGGCGTTACCAAGGCGGGAGTGCACGTGCGGGAGGGGAAGTTAGATCTATGAGTAAGGTACCAGCGGACCACGCGGGCGGAGCCGCTGACGGAAAGCTAGTAATTTATATAAATAATGCTATATTTAATGAAAAAATCATTAGCCCGTACACCAGATTTATAAGATAAAATAAACTATGATTATTTTCAAAAAACAATATTGTGATTAACATTATTTTGATTTTGGCTCTCTGCCCATTGTCGTTAGTTATTATCTGTCTGCAGTTTTCTTCAATATTATTTTATTATCACATACAGGTTTGGTCGCTGTTGGGGCACGAGAATAAACAATCTGAGCCGATATACGAGAACGAGTCCAAGCAGATCAGGTGTTTGAACGCACTCTCATTGAACTGCTGCGCTTACAACCAACGAACCGTCCTGATAGTATGCGCTAAATACTGCCAAATATATGACGCCGGTGAGATTTTAATACTAATTTTCATTTATTTATTTCTTCTTTATTGCCAAATTGGGTAAAAAAGAAGAAGTTCTATTTATTCCGTCAGTCAGATAATAGAAAAATATTACATACGTATTTTTTTTTTACTTTAATTTAACAAGAAATAGATAATAGGCATCAAGTTGAGGAGTAAGGGATCGCTACGTCACAGTTTTGTAGAAAATGTACCTACCAAAGCGTGACGTCATGTGACATTTTAACTCAGTGTATCGCCGTAATTTAATGATAACGAAAAAAAAACGCTTTTAATATTTTTCAACAATCCACCTGACAGACAAGCAAACAAAAAGTAGTCCCTATTACAGCAAATGGTGGAGGCGTTTCTCCACTAGTCGACCGGTTTGGGTCTACAGAACATTTTCTCGAGGTCGAGAATTAAATACCGATATAATTGAAATACAAATATAAAGGACATGTAGGTACTAAATAAAGATATCTGCGAAGATACCAATACCATACTTACATATAAATACACAAATGTATACTCTATACTCAATCGCCATTTTGGTTCCTTTTGGTACCGCGCATCAACGTATATTTGCATGGCTCGCTCTTAATACAATCAGCTCTTCACTTCTGCGACGATGAATCGCAAAGTGCGATCTATCGTAATAGTTTCTGGTACAAATCCAGTAAATTACTAATGTGCTGGAACTCTGTATAAATAACACCCACGTAACGTCATATGAATATAGAAAGTATAGATAGCACAAAATACAAGAGATAAATAATTAATTATAGAAATACATTTTAATAATTCCCAAAATATTGTTATTTTATTTTAAGAACTTTTAGTTTGCTAATTGATTTATGTATTTTTGGAAAAGAATCAGTTTATATGTAATTATTGAGTTGTATAAAAAATAAAAAGATGTGAAAAAATATATTTACTTTGTAATAACGCGATAACAAACGGAAAGGACGTTTTTTAAAACATAACCAAAAATAATAATGAAGTGAGAGACATTAGGTATATTTATTATTAGTAAAATTATGTTTACTTATTTTTTAAATGTTAATAGCAGTTGCCATTTTAGTCAACCATAAAAAGTAACAACAAAACTTAAGAAATACAACTAAAATTATGTGTGATCGCAACACAACCCAATTCAATAAGCATACTCGTCCACAAAGTCAAAGTCAAAATAATCTTTATTCAAATAGACTTTTTAAAAGTACTTTTGAATCGTCCAACATTTTTTCCCTACCACTCGTTACGTATAACGATAACATAATAATTCAATAATAATGGCAACAAGATAATTTTTGAGATATAATGAGTTTAGAAGAAATCACCTATCCTATTGCTGGACCATCTTTTTATCTTAAGCATTTTTATCTGTTATATATATACATACCAGCCAGTGTTTATTTGTTAACGGAACTGATTTTTCACGCAATTGTGTCATCAAAATGGCGGCCAAGCGCATTACCAATTTGCGGGGATTATGACGACTTCCAAAGCCAAGATCAGATTGCACAAGAAAAAATAGGTTAGGTAGTCGGATGTGTGAGATCGGATATCAAGGGTGGGGTTTGAGACTTAATTAATATTTTTTATTTTATATCTATTATCAAATATTTTTTAGGTGATTTCTCAGTTCTGTGCTCGATACAAGCACCATCAGGTGAACGCTGGATGTCTGGTGACTTTTTGGCACCAGATAGGATACTGGTGTGGTCTACGGAGGGCAAGGGATACTTGTACAAGCTACCCGCTAAGTAAGTTTACAATTTTTTATTTACCTCTCTTAATGTAGTGTTATAGTATTACTGGATCTACATTTGAGTTACACACAGCGACATATCAAGTTACCAGAAAATTAATAACTTGCATAACCATATTTTAACAAATAAAGATTTTATTATTACAAAGTTTGTAATTGAGTTTGAACTTAATGTGTGACAGTTTTAGGTTCAATATTTTATATATTTTGGTGTTGATTATTATCAGTGATCAAGTTGGTAGAGCTTTTAAAGAATTCAGGATACCACATAACTTAAAGACGAAACTTCATTAGAGACAGAAAACTTATATCTCTGATTAAGTATAATAAAGTAGTAATATATTTGTCATATTATGGATATGACTGCAATCTTAGTTTTATTTTTTAAATATGGTAATAATAATAGGTTTTGTTTATTTTCTTTTAACTACTACCGCTTCAAATTAATTGTTAATCAAACTTCAGTTACTAAAAAATCTTTATACAAATTCAAAAAAACTTGAAAATGGGTATCAGTCTTATCCTTATTAACATGTGCGATTAGAAATTATTCTATCTACTTCAATCACCGATTATTTATGAACTATGTATGTTTGATTTTATTACTTAACAATGTAAGTATATGATGATGATTGTGTTTTCATCTCCGATTATTGTCCGAGTAATTAAGGGAATTGACGATTTATTTCCTCACGAATATGGTCTCATATTATGTAATTGCTACTTTAAGATGAGTGTACGCTCGACACTTGCTTCAAACAGCAAAATAATTCGCTCAAATGTATATATTCGCGATCTTATGAGAGCGCTATCTATTTTGTTACATTACAACCAAATTTTACAAATGAGTGAATTGGTGTGATATTCATAGAGCAAAAAAGAAAAGTAAATACAAATCGGAAAGGTGTGGTATTACATGATGAAACCAGATTCGTGTATATGCAAAATGTTACATTTTGTAGAAACGTTTGTTAGTTGAGCTCTGGGTAGTATCCTGACTTTTATAATAACATGTGGATATGCTCGAGGATTTGCTCTGTTCCAGTGGTTCCCAAAATTGATTGGCATAACAAAAATTTCCGTCGCTGAATAATTAAGACACCTATATATTTGTCGCGATCCACAGTCAGACGGATTTTTTTAATATCTAGTCTATAATCATCTTAAGGCACTATCAAACAGGGGACTTGAATTCCAAGTCCCTTTATGCTTGCTGTTTGACAGAACCTTTGGTATATTACTATTATATGACTTATGATTGTTTAATTACTCAGTATAATTGCATTTTTCTGACCATGTTTGTTAATTATTCATTGTTGGTGTGCGTTAAGATTTAGCATGTTTACACCAAACGTAGAATCGACCGTCGCCTATTGTATTGTGTAGTCATTCATTGTTAGCCCTATTACGACCCCACAACAGGGACTCAGGCTTTCCTTATGATACTCAGGATGGTTAAGGAGGGATTAGCCATGACCCTCCATGTTGGCCCAACGTGGATTGGAGGGTATTAATGACTGCAAATACAGCCGGGACCAACGGCTTAACGTGCCTTCCGAAACACGGAGTAGGTCGATATAATAATTTTTTGGTCACCCATCCCATGACCGACCCTAGCGAAAGTTGCTTAACAACAACGATCGCGGGCCGCGGCGCTTATCCACTAAGCCACCGAGCTACTCCTAACTATTGTGTAGTCATTGCCCTCGATGTATTGTCATTTCAGTTTGAACGAGAATATGTATAAAAATGTAAATCTGAGTAACGGTCGCTCACAGTCATTCGCTTGGACAGACAATCAGTTTGGTGTAAACGAAGCCTTAACGATTGTGGTTGTTATTAATCGCTTAATATAAATGAGGGATTAAGCTTCTGAAGGTAAAGTTTCCGCTCTTGCGGGTTACGAACATGATGTTATTTATGAGTTATGTTAAATGAACACTTCATTGTCAGAAATTTGCATTTTTTTTGTTTTTATGATGAATGAATAGACTCATTAGATGAACATTCATTGGAGCACTGTCGCCTATGTTATAGTGTTAAAATATTTCTTTGAATAATTCATACATTACAATATTTGTTGTAATACTTCCACGAACATTACACACTATAATGAAGCAACTGTGGATTTTTTCTGTTGATGATTTTTAGTCTAATTTGAAGGAATAAATAAAATACATCAACGCTTTATTGAGATATGAGCATTTAATATTAAGTTGTAGATAAATATAGAAACAATTTATATTTGTGACGTCAAAATCTAAGAAGTTCCGACTGCATAATTTTCAAAACTGACAATTAATTTACAAAAAAAAAACTTCTGATATTTTAATCGTTACTGTTTTTTTCTATAAATATTAAAATATCTACAAAATCTGCCTAATGCATATACATAATTCATAAGAATCAGTTAAGCCTCTTGTCGTAATGTTTATTACATACTCGTACATTCTGAACGCCTGCTGCGTTCAAGTGCGCCAGAATAAGAATACGTCATTACCATCACCGGATGGACCGTAATCCACCACGCGGGTACTAATGCCGATTGATGGATTTTAACAGTTGCAGGTGCAACAGGCTTAACGTACCTTCCGAAGCACAAAGGAGATCGAGAACTTTTGGTCACCCAAATAAATGTAACAGTGCCGGAACAGTGGCTTGTCTGATATATGTGAATCAGCTTTTAAATATTCCATAGCCAGTGCTAATTGAACAGTTGTTTTATTACACAGTTATTACTGAAATTACATACATTTATTAAAACATGTGAATATCTAAAGATGCTCGTTAGATTTTGACAGTGGTTCAGTCGATCTACAAAATCATATTTAAAATCTCGAAACAAGAAATAAAAATAGTAAGATAATCTACTTATGGGTATTCTGCCTTTTCGCCGATAATTCTTTAGCCGTTTATTACTTGCCAACTAACGTTAGTGTCCGTCAGTCTGGCAACGCCACCCTTACGGCATTTCTTTCTTCATCTAGTTCCTTATTCATAATTCCGTTACAAAATAGAGACCAATAGCCAAGTTTCATAGTTTTCGAGATTAACGATAGTCTTTGTGGCGCTGCCGGGCTTACGTCATTTTGGTAGTACAGTAGTGTCTGTATTTGATAATTTAATCCCTTATTTACCAGTCTAGGACATAGCGTCGATGAATGGCTAAAGTAAATACTTTTAAAGATAATTAAGAAATACTGTGGCTCTGCTGGACTGACGTCATTCTGGCAGCGCCATGCCATATCTTCTAGACCATAGGTTTCCAAACTTATGTCGTCTACTGCCCACTTTGAGAATAAAAAATTCTGAAGCGCTCCTTTTTCAACTACTTAAAAACCACATTACCATATTAGCGGAAATTTAAGTTTCATTCTAATCAAGACCTATAAACGGAGCGACCGATTAACACGAAATTTATTTTATTTATTCAATATAACAGGACAGACATGCATATATAAATTACACGGAGAGAAATATAGAACAGAGTTATAATGAGGAATCTCTTAATTAATATTATTAGTTGATGTTTACAATTTGTTATCGATAGTCAAAAGCTCAGTCAGTATCGAAGAGTCTTCGTTAATAAAATTACCCTAAGCCTCTACACAACGTCCTCATTTTTCTTCTGGATATCTTGCCGCCCCTCTTTAGGCCTTTAGAGCATCCTGTCACTATTCACCACTCTAGGGTACCATGAGTGGAGTAAATTACAAAAATGTTCTCAACAGTCACAATGTATTTTACCACTCTGACTATTCCAAGCGAATATTTTTAACCGATTGCTACGGTGGCGTTACCGCCGGCGGTGCGGCCGTAAGCTGCACTTCTTACAGCTTATTCCCTATATAAACACGACAGGTCAAAACTCGTGTTGTACGCAAAAGATATTTGTATGTGTGTGTAAAATTCATGCATGTGTTACGGTTTTGACGTATGGCTGTGTCGCTACCAAATAACTTAAGCCCGGCAGTGCTACAAAGACTATTATTGATCGTCAAAACTAAACAATTTGGCTATTTGTCCCTATTTCGTAACGGAGTGATAAATAAGGGACTAAATGAAGCAAGAATTCATTTCAAAGTGCAAGAAGATGGCGCTGTCAGAACGACGGACACTGACAACTATTTACGATTAACAAATGTTGGTATTTTAATGACATAAAACATTTTACAATTGCGTCCAAAAAATGTCCATTAAAACTAATTTTAATTAGTTTAAAGCGACATTATCCATATAATATTGACATTCATTAGAGTTTAAAGGCTTGATTAAACCCTAATGGACGTTTGTGCAACTGAATATGAGACATTTATTATTTGTCAAATAGTTCACAACAACACACAAGTTCACAATAGTTCAAAAAAGATAAATTGGCAAATGATTATTCGGCGAAATAAAATTCCCCGAAACGTTAATTGGCATCTATTACAAGTGATAAATCGGTCAAACAATTTTCGACGAAAAGGTAGAGATCCATATGACCCACTTATAACTTATTAACCTTTTTTACATCCGGTTGGTGGAGCTCGTTATTCAACGCCTAAGAGTTATATAGTAATGTTATAATTTACCTATAAATGTTATAATTTACCTATAACTTTCAAGTATTATCTTATCCAAAGCTACAAGAGTTAATAGTTAACAAAAATTGACGCATTCGCACGTAATGAAATCAAACTCTACGATTATGATATTATTTTAGATATCAATCTTATAAGCTTACATGCAAATGCTCTAGTATCGTACACACACACACACACAGAGACACACATATCCATGGGTACTTTTCTTTAAGCTAAACACCTCATTTCTGTTTTAGCAAACTGCGTGGACGGGCCATAAGTAGGTCAGCACCAATTTATTTGACTTATAAAGATTTTATTTACATATATATATTGACGGTCACTGATGGTAGAAATGGTCAATCAATGATTGGATTTGTGAGAACGTACAGGAAAAAAATGTAGTCAGTACACAACATTTTATATTGTGTTTGTTGGTGAAAATCATATTATTTTTCTCTCTTTTGTTATTTTAGTTTTTATCTCCGATGTACTAAACATCGGAGATAAAAAGAAAAAAAATGTCTATATAAAGTATCGTTGACATATCTATGGTATCCGGGGGTTTGAAGACGTATTTCTGTCAATATTCCTACAACTATTAAAATAAACATAACTATTAATTAAACATAACAAAAAATTTTACTATCAATTATAATATTTAAATATGAGTTAAATTTTTATAAATTCAACTTTCGTAAATATTTTCTATTAACAAAAATATTTGCACTGATTACAAATTTTGCCTGTATTAGAAATTTACGTTATCATTGTTTGACCTATTTATTTGATAGAAATTTCATAACAGGTTGTCTAATTGAAAATTGTCATCTAAAATTTTCTAATTTAAAAAATCTATCGCAATCCCTTCCAATTTATATTTAAGAGAAATTAACGACCTTCATGCTACAACTATGTGACATGTGATAGCATATGCGATCGCGACGTAGCCTTTGAAAAATATTTAATAAGCGACATCGTTAATTAAACGTTAGTAAAAATACTTATATTCGAGAAATGTCAAATGAAAGTGCGGTATGCTAACTGCAATCTTTCGGCAGGTTTAGGTTAGTTTTATCATGTTTCTTTATCATTCAAATCATCATTCGTTCCAAAAGCGTTTGCTACTTTAAAAATGAGGAAGTGTTTAAAAAATAAAAATTAGTTCCCGAAATCAAACTATATGTCGCTACGGTACGTTCTTGATTTCTCCATGACAACCTTTCCGGTTTTCTTTCATGTTTAAAAGTAAATTAGCTTTTCAAAACTCAATAAACAATTCATATTCTATTCGTATTTTTTTCGTATTTGAATTGATATCTAAGTTTGGAATTTGAAAAGATTTTTAATATGTTAGTTAAAAGGAACGACAATGACTGTCTTTGGTCTATTCGTTTCCTGTAAAAATCAACTTTTGCTAGAGTCGCCATCTAGTGGAGGTGCTTTTTTAGTGCTTTCGTTTTTTTAATACTATCCATAAATCGCTTGTATACAATCGTTACAATGAAAAGGATTTGCGATAGATTTTGAAATTAGAAATGAGTCCACTGGTCATTCTTCTCACAATCAACCCAGCAATTGAATCCACATCATATAAAAATACTAAGCTACTAATAATCAGTGACTTTTAGATATAATTTGCTTGCACCTTTAGTCAGCCATTTTATAAGTAGACATATTTTTTGTTTAAGTGTCAATTGTAAAAACAAATAATTTTTAAATTACTAGCTAAATCTTTTATTTTCTAGTGAAAAGTATGTAATATTATAAATATTATTAATTATTTTTTTATATCGAAACAAATATTGATTTTAGTTCAAGTACCTGTTGAACTTGATTTTTCCTACAGATTGTTATGTATTTCAGTGTATACCGACTTTAATTATTGTTTAGCTTAGATGTGTACAAAAGTTTTGATTTGCGTAATACACACCATACCCATCGTTGTTGTAAAAGTATTGTATTATTTGTTTCCTCTTTAATAATTTTCGTGTGTGTTCTTCGCGTTGGCAGAAGTGAGTTGTGTTGTGTAGTGTCCGACCGAGTTTTCGGCTTCGCTCAAAGTTTCGGCTTCGATCACCTTAAACCAAACTGTCGGTTACGTTCACCTTCGGTTTCGCTTTTGTTTTGAAACGAAAATCGTCTTGACTGAAATCTTAAGAATTTTAACATAATAAATGGATTTGCTATGAATATAATTAAATATCGTATAATGCAACTGAAATATCATTAGTTGCTGTTTGTGCAAATTGCAATATAATTCAATTATTTCGTTGAGGTCAACGTTTATTTACACACAGAAGCACCGAAGGGTCCGTACACGCTGACTCCCATTGTTTTACGTTTTGGAAATCCTACCTATATCTACTATTTATTATAGTTTTTTTTTTTTTGCGTTAAATGTCTTTGATTTTAATGTTGGCTTTTCACGCAAGAAAATATTTTAATAGCGTATCCTCTCCACAATAACACTCATTATTGTTAAATCTGACAACATAAACTAATTAAAATCAAAATATTCAAATATACCCTACTATACTTATTTCTTATTAAATCTTGGGTGTCGTCCACAAATGCACAATCGGTCGGACATTATTATCCAGTAAAAAAATCGTTATGTATTTAAATTTCCAGGTCTAGTTGATTCGAATGTAGTTTAGATATGTATTTAATATATTTATAGATTATATCGAATGATACAATCTGGAAATTAATTTATATACGTAATGATAAATTGTAGGTAGATTTTTAGTAGTATCAGGCGTTACCTTGTGGAAGTCTATTGTTAAAATAATAATATTTAGCAATTTACCCACTCTTTTAGTACTAGCAAAATTACGTGCACTCCATCGGCAAATAATTAATGATACAACTAATATGAAGTATGGTGGATGTTCGTTTATACAGAGTATGCGAATAAAATGTATAATGGACCTTGTTGCAATAATTATAAGACGTAGAAAGCAACACATTATGTGTCTGGTTCACTTACACTCAACGAGGGTCATGCGCGTCGGAGGGTCACCCGATGACGTGATACTTAAAGCATTCTGATTGCCCAATATTTAGCGAGCTTCAAAATTTAATCTTCTGCGCAGCTATATCAATGAACCACATCAGTTGTATTTTATTTTACAATGTAAGTGGTTAAACTCTTGAGTATACTCTGTACAGGAGCGACACTCTTCTAATTTTTAGTGCTATTGGCGAAATTTCACCAATTTCGCCAATTTCACCATTTGTGCACGTTTCGGGTCGTGCTCATAAATCTATTTACTAACTTAGTAAAGAAAAATGCTAAATATTATAATTTTACAATATAGGCATATTGGAGAGTAATTTAATTTCAATATAACGCCATCAGATATGACAATTACTATGTATAGAATTACAGAAATATTTAGTAGAGTATTGAATAGTAATGAAACTAAAGTCATTTACTTATGTTTGTAAATGAGGGATTTGCTGTGTTCGCAGTTCTGTACCAGATCATAAAGGCTTCCATGGACCTACCGTGGAGCATGACAGCCCTACACTGTACGGACTGTTGGCTCATCCAGATAATAAGGTAAAAGGTTCAGACAATATATACTTATTTTTATAACTAGATAAAGTTATTAACTTTGTTTGTTTGTAGGGGATAATTTTTGGAAACACATATTCGATCTTGAAAGTTATTTCATCTAAAGGAAGTTGACGGTGATATTGGCTATAATTTACGCGGGTGAAGTCGCGGGAAAACAGCTAGACTAGTATAAATACTAAGATGACCGTCTGATTGACTAACTGATTTGACTACTGAATGGGTCGAGTTGAAATTTACACTAAAACGGGTTTTGAAAAATTCAATCCATTCCCCCTATGCGTTGAAATATTGAGTTATTTACTATCAATAAAAATGAAAAAATAATAGTAATCAATGCAAAAGTTTTAATATTATGTTCGCTACTGTAAATTAGATGTCCGATATTTATTTATTAACTACTTAACTAAGGCAAACACTATTTAGCCATATTTTATCACTCAGAGGTATAAAAATAGGTATAAAAGTGCACAAACAAACATCTAATATATAATCCGAACCTGAATTCGAATTCACTTTGTGTCACGAATTCACTTCAAAGCGACATCTGCTAAACCTTGAATTAGTATTAACGTTTCGTGTTTCATAAGTGAAGTGAGTTTCGAAATGAGATATGGAGAGAATATCTGAGACACGTATTATCAATAAAGCTTGTTTAGTATTTTTATACAAAAAAACATTAGGATTTTTTACACTAATATAAGTAAAGCGGATTCGCTTTCGGAATTAATTCGGACTCCTAAGTGAATTCGAATTCGATAACGCTCTGCTGATCGCAAACCTGTGTAGGTGTTATCGTGCCCGCCGGCTATACGCCTCGTGGTGACGTCAGTGCGTGGCGATCGCCGTCGACTCTTAGTACGCGGTGACTCCGCAGGAGTTGTGTCTATATGGGACGTGGATGCCGCCGCGCCACTACTGCAGCAGCAACAGCAGCTGCCGTGTAAGTACATGTAGCAGCCATATATCTTAATAATAATAAATTTAATCGCATTAGTAACACCATAGTCTAAAATGGTTGCATGATGAAAAAATACAAATATCCAAAACAAAAAGGGCCTTAAAAAATTATACCAACTGTGTGTTGCAGTAATGAGGGCTAACACTCGGGTTTCCAACGGTTTCCCAACGGTTTCCCCACTTGAGAGACAGTTAAATATATATAAACAACGAAACGTGCTCAAAATCATGAATCCATCATTAATTATAATAATTAAAAATTAATAAAAAATCACCGTCATTTCATTCATTCAAATAAGATTTTAAAGGCACTAACTAAAGCCGCAAGTTAAACAAAAAATGTACGACTAATGAATCTGTTGATCTATACATAAATACCTAACATATGAAAGCGAAAGGAAAATCACAGAAAATACAAGTGCTAGGAGGGATTATTTTAAGAATGTAGGTGCCACCTGAGGCGGGATTTTGCTTAAACGTAATGCATATCTTCATAACTATGCGGACGAAGTAGCGGGCAACAGCTAGTACCTAATATATAAATATAAATTACAATCAATAACAATAATACTAACGACTAATTCGACAGGTAAAAGGCCTTTTTCACTACTATACTCGTATTGCTTCTGTAATACACTTTAGCAGACGAAGTTGATGAATGTTTTGTTGTTTTCAATCAGCTCATCCGCCGAATGTGCTGACAAGTCTAGAGTTGGCTTGGGCCGAAATGAATCCAAGCCCAGTCGGTATACTCGACCAATTGAACTTACCCGATGAACCAGGTGAGGATTTAACATATTGACGCTCTTATGATAGCTCATTGCTGCAAAAAGTCTAGCCTTTTTTTTTAATTCGCAAGGGTTATACCTTAACTTACCTTATCGAATTTGAGATAACCATAAGTATTTACACATGGATTTTATCACAGCATTCCGTCACCAAAATATAATACAAGAGTATTGTAGTGGTAACCGCTTATGTTTGGATTTTCGATCCCGATTTCTATTTGAGATTTTGCAAAAATGCAGTATGTACTCTATAATCCCACCAATTACAATGTATTAATTATTAAGACTAGGATAAAGTATAAATTGGTTGCTTGGCTTGCTCCGTTGATTGAAATATTAGTTGGTTTGTTTGTTGCTGGAAAGAACGCCCGGTGGAAGCATTTAGAAGACTGGAAAGATCCATAACTTTTACGATCAAGCTAAGGAAACGAAAGACGTACTTTGACTTTAAGAATTTTTAAAGCAGGGATGCTTTGGATGCGCCGCAAAGGATCTATCACAAAGATGTAAGATAAGTAATGTATATAATTTTTTTTTCGTAGAGATAAAACTGACTGCGTCTATCTACCTCCTGGCTGCTAACAGACTAGTGGTCGGTAGGGAGGATGGCTCCATAGTAATAGTGAATGCCACACACACGATACAGCTGCAACTGCTGCACGGCAGTCATCAACAACGAGAGGGTGAGACCATTTGGATATATCAAACTTAGCTGTGATTAATTTTGTGTCCTATAGACTTTGAAACTTGTATTTATTATTGTTCAATATATGTATTATTTTGGTAATGACATGATTTATGTAAATGTCATTACTTATGATAAAAAGCTGATAAGTTTCTTTCGCTTGTTCTTCTTGTCAGCTAAAAGACGTTCTGAACAAGTGGTAGGGGAAAAAACATTTTTGGACGATTCAAAAGTGCTTGTAACAAGCTTACTTGAATAAAAACATTTTCATTTCATTTCATTTCAAGTCACTTATTGATAAAGAATAAATTGGCGGGTGTATGTGATAAGTATTCGTTAACCCTTATTTTATGTTCTCGTAGATTGGCATTGTCATCAATTACTATTGGGTCATAATGGCAGAGTGAACTGTCTCCTATATCCCCATCATGTTCATCAAAGGTGAGATTAAAAGAAAAACACTTAAGAGTGTCTCTACTTGCAATGTGATAAACACTTTTAGAGTACCTTTACTTTACCTCTACCTTTACTTGTATCTCTACGTTAAAGGTTTAATCTTATGAAGTTTGTCAGTTATTGAATAACTTAACATGAGTTTGACTGAACGTTTTATTGTCTAATTCCCAAGACATTATTCACTGCGGGCAATATTTTCAGTACATTTATATTTATATAGTGCACCTGTGTTATGCAGATTGGAAACAATGAAAATGCCACCTCGTTTACCCAAATCTTAGAAACTATCCTAAAAAGCTAAATCAGTCACGAAAGTGGGCACCAAAGATATGATTTATATTGAATGCCCTATTTATATTATTCTAGTCCAGCGGTCGAATCCAGCGCTGGAATGGAATAATGTAAACGAACACTGGAATGTTGGCACTGTATGTATCATTATAGATTCAGTGCTTTATTTTTGTGATAATATTAACCGTACATTATATTTCTTTCATTAATTTCATTTAATTCACCTAACATTATTATATACGCCTTGTCATAGATACGACAAAGCTCATCTCGTGTCTGGCGGCATAGATTTTGCAGTATGTCTGTGGGACTTGTTCAGTGGTACTTTGCTGCATCGGTTTTGTGTCCACGCGGGTGAAATCACACAGCTTATAGTTCCACCGCACAATACAAGCGTGAGTACTAATATCTATCCATTGGTTTTCATTGTAGTTCATAAAAAGTAATAGATATGACATATGTAAGAGACGCATGGCATATGAACGAATAAATAAAAAATGTATTTAAATATACTTGTTGCAGGCGAGAATCCAAAAGTGTATCTGCTCTGTAGCTTCAGACCACAGTGTCACACTATTAAGTAAGTCAATAAAAGAATATAAGTACATTATTAACCAAAATAAATATTAAAGTTTCTAGCAGATCCATCTGAACCGAAAGAGGCGAATGAAACAAATCTTATTTACACTTTTTATGACAGTGATAAATGAAATAAGAATTCTGACGATACGGTGCATGTTAATCCATATATTTTCATACAAACATTTTTAAAGTATGTCTTTGTCGGCGCCTTCGTTGAGGTTTAATGTGCGTGAAGCGTAATAAGTACAGACACATAAATCCGTGAAAGTATTGGGACGATTTAATTTTTTTTAACTATCTTCACCAGGTCTTTGGAACTAGAGGCTAGGTAGATGATATATATCTCAACTTTGATAAGGCCTTTGATGAAGTTAGCCTTTTCCACCGAGAGAGTGAATATAATAACATAGGTTCATTCTCTTGGCATATACATCAATTCCTGCTTACATTAAATTATTTCATGAAATAAATTATTATTCTTCAGCACCTAGTGCTATTTTCTCAGTCGTGTCACAGGGTTAGCATCTAGGTCCACTATTATTTTTTATGAATAATTTGATTTCTTGACTATCTTTTGTACATCGACGGTTTATATCGATGTCGAGAATATGGAGCAGAAAAAAAAATCGAGATTTATTAACGACTTTATAACTTAATGTAGATTTAATAACCTTATAACAAATATAGTATTATTTGCAGGACAAAATACAATGTGGAAGGATATTTAGATGCACTATTTGATAAAAATCTTTAGTACTTGCTATTAACAAATAAAGTAAAGATTTATAATCATAACGGTTTTAAAAAAAATCGTATTTTTCAATATTAGTTTTATCAAAAGCGTCTGTTGTAACATTGGTCCTCATATTTTAATTCTAGGAAATGTTTAGAAATGCTAATAAAGAAGAACGTGATGTCATGAACAGGTCTGACGGAGCGCAAGTGTGTGACACTATCGTCACGTCACTTGTTCCCTGTAGTGAACATAAAATGGCGTCCAGCAGACGATTTCATGGTGGTAGGATGCAGCGATGGTACTGTGTACGTGTGGCAGATGGAGACTGGACATTTGGACCGCGTTTTGCACGGTGAGTGGACGAATGACTCGGGTTAAATGGTGAAGTAGCAACTGAGCTGCCAGAGACTGCATCATTTCTCAGGTATTGATATTTATAATGTAAAATATTTGGTCTTCACTTACGAATTTGTCGTTTTTTTAATTAAATAAATTACGTCTTTTATTTATATTAATTTAAGTAACCTTTGGCAATCGATGCATCTTTGCCGATTCAGAGGCAGTTAATAGTTCTTCTTCAATTGAAGAAGAAATAATTGTGTTGCTAAACGTTTGGACGTTTGTTGGTGTTCAGGTATGATAGCAGAAGAGGTATTGGCGGCATGCGATGAGACGATATCCGATGACCTGGGCGGATCGTTGGCTTCAGGCACCAGCGATCTGCAGGGATTAGCTAATCCAGCTGTGCATTTCTTCAGGTAACTATAGACCTTATGTAGTCATCGTAGAAATTATTTGAATTTTTAATTCATAACAACATTTATGTGACAATGCTATATCAACTTGATTACGTGTCTTTCCACCATTATAATTAAGATCCGCAAAACTTCCAATACTGTATGGAACATGCTGGCTTTATGTGCCTTGTTAAAGTTTTAGCCTCAGTGGCCAACTTTAATGTTTTTAATCTTTAAATAGCAACGGAAAATGTGTCTAATAATATTTATTTTTTTAGGCGGAAAACTAATTAATTCATGTGAATTTTATCGTGCACCCCTCTGTCTTAATTTTGTATCTTTCAACTGGTTCTGAAAACTCCAGTGAATAATTGTTACATCAAATACCAACAAAAAAGTTTATAAGTGAAAAATGGAAATGTTACCTAAGACTAGGCTGTGTGAATTCAAACCATTTGCCTTTTCGTTAAATAAAATGAAATATACAGGGGTCTCCGTCACCGCAATTTGACTGCGATGCGTGCGGCAACACAACGCGGACTAGCGGCATTACAGGGCCCCTTGCATGCTAACAACGCCGGGCCCCTAGCGGAGCCCGCGCGAGCTCGACGTGCGCATCTAACAGTGCAAGGCTTCCGATCCAATCCCAAAGGTGAGTCTAAGTTGGACGCTGATAAGTAATAATGGTTCAACCCATACAGAACATAATGAGAAAATGTCCTCTAAGGATGTATTAATGATTTGTTTTATGATAAAAAATATGTTTTTTTCCATACTTATTTCGTCCATGTTACTTAAAGCTCTATTGCTAAAAGTGGTATATAAGGTATTTAGAATACATCACATCTCCGAAAGCGACCTTTGTGGGGTAAGGCATTATTGCTCATCAGTGTCCAGTGGTGACTGCAAAATTGATCAACTAAAACTAATTAAATTATTAATTTTCTATATATATCTTGACGCCGTATCCCTTGTGAAGTAGGCAGAGAAGACCGAAAGCCACAAAGCACGGTCATTAAAATACATATTTTTTACATACATCTACATACAGCCTTTTGCATATGCTCGTCGGTTTTTATGACTCCAGTTATCAACTTGTACGCGAATGATTTGATTGTGAAAGGTGTGTCTTAGCCGTCCTCGGGTTATGCATACTTCCAGTTTTGCGCGTGCGCACTGGGGAGCGATTCCGTAAAACTCCGAACCAGAATTCCAATTCACTCATGTGCCACTCATGTATGTATAAATTCTATTGATTCCATTTTTTGTATAAAAATACAAAATAAAATTGATTGATTATACGTGTCTCAGATATTCTATCACTGTCAATTCGAAACTCACTTCACTTATGCCAAGAAACGTTATTATCAATTCAATGTTGAGCGGATGCCGCATTTGAAGTGTATTCGGATACCTGAATGAATTCGAGTTTGGCTTCGGATTTTTACAGAATCGCAGGGCTAATAACGAATTTTTCCTCTTTTGAGAGTAGACGGCTTGAACAAGATTTTACATACACATACAAATATACACATAACTGAATATAACAATACTAGCTTTCCGCCAGCGGATTGACCCGTGTGGTCCCTAAGGCACTGTTTATTTGGATATTGAGTCATATAATTACAATTACATATTGAATAATAAACAATGGTGACTATGGTAACGTTTCAATTCCCTATACAAACCTCCACTCCCATTTTCATCACTTTATTTTTTGTTTTTTTGAGATTAAATATAACCTATGACGTAGATTTCCGTAGGTGAAAGAATTTTTAAAATCGGTCCAGTAGTTTCGGAGCCTACAAACAATGAAATCTTTCCTATTTATAATATTATTATAGATTATAAAGAGGAAAGATGTGTTTGTAATAGGCTCCGCTGTTGTTTTAAATACGAAAACAATAACGAAATCACCTATACTCCATTCATTATAGCATTAGACAGAATGAAAATAAGGTTCTTTTTATGGTATACTTTGTGACAAAATGTCAACAATCATGTTACTCTTAAGACTAACGGATAATTTGCTTCATATCCACTTAAATAACAGCTACTATACTTAACCGTTGTCTTTTAAGCTATATATTAAACAAATTAATGAGTATTTGACTGAGTTAAAACATTTAAAAATTATTACAATAAAAAGTGTTCATCTTAAAGAACCTAAAGAAGCAGGGTTAGATAGTTTCGGCACGATTCTCATGTCATTATAACTCTACCAAATTTAAAACATTGTCTAATCCCTTGAAACGTTTCAGCAGTACAGCTTTTTAATTTTGTCAGATTATGATTTATTCATAATAGTCAAAATACGTAATCTGGGATTGTCATTAATTGTGAATGCTACTGCCTTTCTTGTTGTTTTGCCGTTTTCGGTGATTGAGTAATTACTGTTTTATTGTTGTTTTCTTATAGTTTTGTTTTAGTTGTTATCTTTTTGTTGTTAAGTTTTGCTAAATTGCGATTCCGGTGCAGGCCCGAGTGGCCTACAACAATTACTTTTGACATATCAGCAAGTTTTTCCAATGACTTAATCAATAGTCTAATAATATCTGAATAAATTTTTGGGCCTAGATGTATCTAAATTGATGACGAATTTAAAATTGTATCTGTGTGTGTGTGTGTGTATAGATCTCAATTCCCTATTTGTTTTCAGACCCCGAAAGCCACATACTTTTCTTCGACATCGAGGGGCTTATAGTGGAACTCCTCAGCGAAGAGTATTCTGCCATGAGTCCCGCTAGTCTAGAGGTAAGTTATACTAACTCGGCCTTATTTTACAAGCTGTATATAGACCGTATTTAGAATCATAAAGTATGTCGTCGTATAATAAGATTAAAAATTCAATATGATATTTTAGCAAATGTCCAGCTTATAAGTAGTTAACTAAATATTAATTTGCTACTTATAACTTATTGTTTTCACGTAGATATTTGATCACTTGAAATGAAGTAAAGAATCTACTTACTTAATTATACTTATCACGTGTAAACCTGCCAGAAGGGTATGACAACTCTACTTTCAGACGAAGACGTGTTAAATTATTAAATTCAATTCAAATTGTTTCTCCACTAGGCTGCTGGATATATAACCAGTGAATACATGAAAGTGGCTGCGCTGACGCAGTCGGCTAGTCCTGATGCCACCAAACGGATATCCGGTAAGATATGCTTATTTTATTTTGGTAAATATTTATATTTGATAATATATAATTGTCAAATGTATAAGCTAAAATATTTTGTCACCAGAGGCATAATGGTCTAATTTTAAAATTGAACCCTTTCCATTTGACATTTAAAACAGATATTCATTAACTTCACGCTACAACTATTTGACATGTGACAACGATTGCAATCGTGACTTTTTTCGAAAATTTTTAATGAACGATATCGCCAATTTTACGTTTTATTTAAACGTTACGTGGTTCTAAAACCGCTATCGAAAAAACGCTATATTTTTGTAAGTGATTACGATGGTAACTAGGCCATAGATTGCAGCACTAGCATATGCAGTAAATAGTTTTTTTTAAAAACGTCCTTCATAGAGTAGTGAGCAAAGAATAAAGTACTGTGCTTTAGTAGAGATGTTATTAAATTTAATTTTTTTATAAACTTATTATGAAATTATAAAATTTATACCAATGTGATATAATAAAGTAATAGAGATGATGACTAATTTTTGTTTATCCGTCAGGTACATTATTGAAAAATATAAAACAATAATTTCTTTAAAAAAATTGCGTATTCAATAATTTACACCGATTCATTGAGTTGAAATGTGGCATGACGTCACACCTTTGTACATTTTCTACATAGTTGTGACGTAGCAAGCACCCACTCAACTTTAACGCCTTTTATCTATGCCATAGTTAAATTAAAAGAAACAAAAAAATAATATGTATCACATATTTTTCTATTTTATCTGTCTGATGGAATATAATTTCTTTTTTTTTTACTCAGTCATTATCCCTATTATGTTTGTCGCACATATAAATAATCAATGAATTTTGTTTATTGAACTAGTTAATATTATCAGGAAATCCCACATCTAAAATCGATCCCACCGGTGGAACACCACAGTTATCCTGCTGTCCAATCGACCAAATACAGTTCAATAGTATGTTGATGTGGAAATTTTCTTTTTATGTGTTGACTTTAACATTCATAAAGTATTTATTTTAATCGTTAAAGTTTTATAAAGTGTGATTCTAAAATTAATAATGATTGGCTGTATAAAATCGCTAAATATCTCTAACCCTGTCACGGTGTTCTTCAAGGGTCTGGCAACTGAAAATAAATAGCTTAGTTTACTACTAAGCTCAGTATGAGCTTTCAGTCTCCACTTGGAGTTTATTTTCAGACAGTAATGGTTACTCTAAAACTGGTTCTTACACTCAATTGTAACTTAAATCTAAGTGTGGAAGAGAAATAAATTGCTATTTTTACTCTGCCGATTCGCCGGTTTAAATGTTTCGCCAACTTTGAATCAAATTGACTAATGTGAAAATTTACCCGACTGCGCATCGCAAAGGAGGGTAATGTGTTTATGAGTCTATGTATGAACGTTGGTTCCTATATGGCAGACCAAACGGCTTGGCCAATTTGGATGATTTATACGTCAATAATTTTTTAGGGATCCTTCCCTACATGTGAAAGTGGGAATGATTTTTTATTTTTTCGATATCCCTATATGTTTTACGGGGCTCCGTTGATTGCTCAAAAAGGAATAAGTCCTGACTATTAATCCTTCTATTCTGCTTTTGAATTTATGATATGTTTTATGTGTGTATGTATAGATTTTAAAACTATTTCAATCAGTTATACTGAATAACATTCTACACTGTTACGGGTTCGGTGCTTCGTCAATTAAATAGGCTGATCAGCTTGAGTATAATTTATTGATGAAATAAGGGTAATAATAAAAAACCCTTGTCGGGCTTCTTGTTACACTTTTGGATCGTACAAAATACAGTTTTAATTTAGTAAATATGTTATATTATTGTATCACCATAATATATGAATTATTAAAATTACATAGTAAAATTTATACCAATAATATTGTATTATATTATAATTTCATCTTGTGTATAGGCTGTCGTGTGCGTAGAATGATTTTGTAAAATGATACTGTTTCTGAGATCAAACGGTATCACTTCTTTCCAACTATATTCGGCGTTAAATGGTGTAGTGCTACGAGCGTATTTAATTCTACACTCTACATTTAGACACTTACACAACACACTCATCTACACTCAACAACACTACACAATTCACCTAAAGTCAGCGGGTGGTGACTGACATTATTTTAAAGAAGCCTACACTATTTTTCTAGGTCGATTTATTAGAGATAATCTTTCTTAAATACAAGTTACCTCTAATTGCTAGGAATTTTTATCTTAATAAGATAAAGATTGTTTGAATGATGTTTGAATGATGAAGTAAGAACATTTTATGAAAGGGAAATCGCCTAATGTAATTTATCCACTATATATACCATCCCCATTTCTAAATTAAATCATGATAGCATTAATTAATCACATTTTATATAAAATATTTTAAGCTTGAGTAATCCAAGAATATCTAAAAAAAAATCTTTCAGATTTTTTTTTAACCCCGGCCCCCCCGGTATTGTAACGGTGTGCCATGCCACCGTTTGTTTTCCTAGGTTTCAGTATGCAAACTTTTTGCTTTTGAAATTCAACATCATTTCATTTTACTATTCGTCTTTCGTAATTTAAAATTTTGACTAATCAATTTTACTCTTTATGGATGTCAGTTCGTAAGAAATTCTCCTATACACAAGATGAAATTATAATATAATACAATATTATTGGTATAAATTTTAAATTACGAAAGACGAATAGTAAAATGAAATGATGTTGAATTTCAAAAGCAAAAAGTTTGCATACTGAAACCTAGGAAAACAAACGGTGGCATGGCACACCGTTACAACACTACTAGGCTTGTCTTTTTCTTTTTAGTTTTTAGTGAAAGTAATTATATTTATTTTTTTCACTTCTTTCTTTTGTTTTTTTTTTGTATTGTCTCGGGTCTGGTTGTAGTGTTTCGAAAAACAAATATCTTACGTAAGAAGTACATATCAAGACTCCCTCGTTCCTCTTTGTATGAAAAACTAATATATGGTCTGCCCCCGTCTACCGTCGTCGAACCAAATAAGGCTCTAGATAAAGTCAACAGAAGTATTCCCATTCGAATAATAGCTACCAATAAATTATATATATAGGGGATATTTATATAGTGATTTTTTAATTTATGGTACAATCTAAAACATACATCATTGAAAATAGAGTTGTATTTGTCAGCCAGTGTTAATATTTTTTGAGTGATTTTCTAGAGCAGTGTTTCCCAAATATTGTTCTGCCTATTCGTGGCCCACTTAATACTTTTAAACCCAAACCGGTTCAACCTAATTGAACCGGTTTGGGTTTGGGTTCAATAATACACATTTATTAATAATAAAAAATGGTTTTATTAATACCCATATAATCACAAAAATGTAGTGCAAAGTAAAAAGTTGATGCATTTTTTTTTAATCAAAGATGGCGAATAATTACGTAAGTTATATCTGAAATATGGTTCCACTTCAAGACGGTTTATTTATTATTAAGGTTACCAATGTTAAAAACCCAGCTTAAATTAAATTATAAGTTGTGACAAAAAGCATTGAAAAGGTTATTGCTTTCGGTAATGTTGCGCCCGGTATTTTATTTTGATGGCCCGGTACCGGGTCGCGTTCCGACTTACGGGAAACACTGTTCTAAAGCTTTGTAATTAACGATGTAAAATAATCAATTGATTTTTGATCTTTGCTAATTGCACGCTGCTTCCAACTCGGATAGATTTCTTTGGACGCGTGAAAGACAAGGCTGGCGATATGGAACGCTTGTTGAAAGAAAAGGACAAACATGGTGGGTAGTATTATATGCGCTGAATTCGTATGGAGTTTTTGTGATGATCAGTTCTATTATTTATGTTATGTGGTTATTTAAAATGTTATAGAAATACTTGCATTAAAAGTGTATAGTGATAATTATATACGACTTATGATTGAAAATACAAATGAACTGTACTTGTAACTTATGATTTAATCACTGACCTAAAAATAATCTCTTTACGCAATCCAAACTCCATTGTTAAATCCAGACAGTGGTATAAACAATGTATAATCATATCTCTCTTCAATATCCGAAGGCTTAGTACGAGTTCACATAAGGATCTATTTTTTTTATTTAGATAAATCTTTTTACCCCCAGTCTGTATCAGGCTGTTTTGTTTCTAATGTTTATTTTATTTCTTTTTACTATCAGGTGTCAAGATTGAACACCCTGTTAGCGGGCGTTGTTCTTTTTACCCTTGTCATATTTACTTTTTTTTTTACCTACTATCTATCTTATAATATACTTATATTTATTACATTATTCTTTCTATAATTAGATTACAATTTTACATAGTTCCTTTTCCTACTTTACTATGATTAGATACAATTACAGGACTGGGGTCGCCCCACTCGGCATAAGGATCTATTTTATTACAGTGCCTCTAGCGTCAACAATGAAGAACTAAGAATTTCCATATTTGTATGGAAATTTAACAATTTTATTGAGTTGGCGAAAATTCGTATCAATATTTCAATTTATCTATATTTGTTTTATTAGCAAAATTGAAATATGCGTAAATCATAATACGAGTAATATCAATGTTTATTATCTACATAATTCTTCTAATGTTTGTGTAATAATAGCATCTCAATAGTATCTCAACTACTTGCATTTTGCCACTGTACTATCTACCTGAAGTCCAATATAATTATTTATCTGTGTACATTGATGTGTGAGGAAGACATTGCACTGATAATATTAGACTTTAGGTAGATAGTGCAATGGGAAAATGCAAGTCGTTGGGATTCTAGATTAGCAGAATTGGTTTGCTGAATAATAGGTCATATCATCAAGTTTTTCAACCATATTTACCGTATTCTATTTATATCAAGAAATTCATGCACGTATACATTAGATTATTTTTTCTTAATATAAAAAGCAAGGAAAAATTCTTGTCATAACATACATTTTGGATGGATCTGACTTAAGATCTGACCATTTCATTTCCACGTGTATTATATATTTAATCCTTCCAAAGGCCTCAAATTATCTCACTATCAACTTTCGCACAATCAAACAACCAAATTGGCTTTAACAGTGTAATAGTCATAGTTACTTTAGCATTTAAGTATCAAAATTAAACTTAAGATTTTTAGTTTCGGTTGCATCTTGCAGTTAAAGTTAAGGTTTATGTCATCAAATTTGACAATATCTGTCACTCTGACTTTAACATTGACGTTGGAATGCGTTTAAAAAAGGCGGTTAAAGTTTACAATAGAAGCTATGACATCGTCCAACCATAGCCAAAGTATAACTCATTATTATTTGCTTAACCGGTGCTTAAACATTTTTGTTGTTGTTAAATAGGTGCATTTAAAACTTAAACTGGTTATCTGTAGATTTTTTTTTGTTTAGCGAAATATTGTAGTTTGGTAGTTTGAGTTTGTCTCATTATCGTTATATGGTACAGGTATACTAGCGAAAATGAAGGAGGGAGCGGAAACTGTGCAGACGAAACTCCAGGCGAAAGCCGAACAGCTGAAGGGGCACCTGGAGACTAAAGGTAAGTGGATGTTACAGGACCTGCCCGTCTATCGCCCTAGTATGTGCTTTGTCTCGCTCTGTTATCAGCTCGATGAAATAGTTGCATCATTGTCTGTACTATTTCACAGGTAATTTCGTAAAACATAGTTACACAGATGCAGAAGTTTCTCTAGTTGTATTTCGCATTACATAAGTACGTCTATAGAAAAGTTTTCAATGATACATATACACGGCCAAAGCCACTAAAATGAAATTTGTTTTCGAAAAACGTGCTGTGTACTTACGTTAAGGAGAAGTTACATATTCGCAATTGTTTCGCAGGGCTTCGCTTCCGCACATGAATGTGACGGTGTAATACGGGCTTTATAAAGCTATAAATTTTGCATTTCGTTAATACGGTGGTTACAATGTAAAAATATTAGCATTTAGTGTGACACTGATAACCCACCTAGGCGACATATGGCGTATTATGCGCATAACTGTTACACGCGATTTCGAGTCACGACAACATTTAGTCATTCTCAAAATGGGGGTAGAAGAGGTTGCCTAGCTGTTTTATTATATTTGCCGCCGTAAATGCCCTGCTTTAGAACGTTTCACAAAAGATGCTTTCCATATATCGAACAGAAACTTGCGCAACTATGAAGAAAGAAATTTCGACTATTGCAAGATAAGTGTTTTTTGATGAATTCAATGGAGAAGAAACTGGCGGTTTTTGACCAAAAGATAAAAGCGCGTGGCGACGCGCCGCTGCTGTAATGAGTTTTGTTCAAAATAGCGCGCGACATACCGCGCTAATGGGTTATATTATAACTCTCAATATTTATGTGCGATTCTAAATAAATAAGTGCTCTACATTCACGAAGTAGGCATTCATAAAATCGTTCAACTCCATTAAAACAGTGATTTATGGTATAATTGTCTAGATTTTTTTTTTTAACTGAATTATTATTTTTAACTGAAATAAATAAATCTCATATTAATTAGGTACATATATTCTCTGTAATCCAAATTTTAAATAACATTTTGAAACATTTTTGCAATAAATTCGAAATTACTATTAAAAGAGTATTAGAAGAATGTTATATTTATTGAAAAAGTAAATGTCCTGCTCTTATATCCTATAAAACGACATTTTAAGATAATTTTGAAAAGGTTCACGGCAATTACATGTCTTTTCCTTAGGGGTAGAATTCTGAAACGAGTATTAACTCACTTTCGTCAGTGACCCAAAAATAAAGTTTCATATTTTTAAATACAAAACTTTCAACTCCGATATTATAAACCCCCTTAGGAGTTGAATATCCAAAAATCTTTATTAGTTGACTCACTCCATAAAATATTCTTACAACCAAAACTTCAACTTCAATAGTTTACGTTTTCGTTGACGATGAATCAGTGAATCAATACAAGTTCTTTTATCTGTATATAGAAAAATCAATCTCTGTTCGTTTCTGTCGCTTAAATTAAAACGGTCAGAGATGATACGAAGTACACCGGGACGTCTAGTAAATAATAAATTACTTTCGTGAAAAACGTAGTCTATAAATCAAACTTTTACAGTATTCATTTATTTTTTTACTTTTTCTTGTTTAGACGATCTCACTAATCCTATTTTTTTCGTAATAGCTATATTTTGCCATTGCACTATCTACCTGAAATCCAATATTATTTGTGCAATGTCTTCCTCAAAAATCAATGTTGACTGAGGAGTTCATTATTTTATGATCTTGTAACAAGAATTGTGTTATAAACGTCCATTAATATTTCATTCATCCATACAAATTTTCAAATTTAGATTTTATTAGAGCTTAAAATCTTAATTAAAGCGTAATGGACGTTTGTGCAACTGACCGAAAGGGTTATAGTTGAAAGACTATTCAATTTACATAAATACGCTAACATTCGCGGAATTGCCCTACAGTTCTTATGTACTGAAAAAAAAAATGCAAAATTCTTTGAAACGACCTTCAACAGTTAAATGGATTTGATACATACATATCACGTCAATAACAGAATGTATCAAAGAAGCTGGGTGTATAGCGGAAGTGTTAATAAGTATATTTAGATCAAATAGTTACTTTAATAAGTCGACATAACAATTAATCGATTTTGTTATTCGTTCGCCGTCAAGGTAAGCAACATTCATGAGTTATTTGTGCGATTGATAAAGTGATACACAGTGCTGTGCAGGATGTCCAATTTATTGTCATCAATTTTAAATATACCTCCTATAATAGCATTCATTATATTAGTAGCCCCTAAAATTCGGCGGAATCTGGTATTCGTAACCCCGCATCATTTAGGTAAATACGCGGGAGATCAGTAATACGGGATTGGAAGTCTTACATAATATATGTTTTGGTGACCTGTGTAACGGGGTTTGTAAAAAGACCTATTTTAGGCACCAGCCATTCACGGTAAGGATATGTACTTGACAAATTGTAATTCCTGTATTATACTAAAATAACTATTGTGAAGAGTAAAGAAATGAATTTATTATTATTATTATATATCAGTGGAACCCAAAGTTGATTGGGATTCAACCTATCTAACAATACTTTCCAAACTTTTGACCCGTCTCTTAAAAGTCTTAGAGAAAAAGAGGGCAAATCTTACAGAGCGATCGCCCATTAAGGCTTTCATATTCGTTCGTAACTCACAGTTTGTGAAATACTGACCTAGATAGCATTCGGCATGTTTTTAACCCCTTATAATAAAAAAGTAAATAAAAGTGATCTACAGAATAGATATATTAGAATAAGTTTTAATATTATGATAATGTTGTTTTTTCTAGCAAGTTTCAATTTCTTATATCATGAATCAATAAATACGCGTATTACTCGTAACAATGATTATGTACACTATTGCTTGTCAATCACGCATTCCTGTGTGTATCGAGACGCAAGAAAGCCTACGCCCTCATCAAGGTAGTCTAGATTTCAAGTGAACTACTAAATGCGCGCATTACCTAAATGAATCTTATTACCGGAATCTTGAGTTTACAGTCCAATGTCCCCACAAATAGGGCCGGTTTCGAAATTTCTGGAACAGTGGGTTTTCTTTGTTCTACATTTGCGGTTGTTAAAGTTATTTATAGATCTCCACTCTTGCTTCTTTTATTTTATACTAGCTGACCCGACAGACTTCGTCCTGTCAAAAAGATTTGTAATGTGGCAGTTTTTTTGCCTACGTATTAAAAAAAATTCTCCTGAACAGAACCGTCACCCTGGTGATAGGGCGTTGTGAATAAAAAATAATTAAATAAAACATATATAAGGATTTAAAAGTAAGTAATCGCTTTATTGTTAATCATGTGAATCATAATTATTATTGCAATGTATTAATAGTAATAGTATTAAATATAGAAAAAAGAGATTTTTATGATCATAAAAACACATTACACACAACAGCATTATAAAAGTAAACTATTCGAATTAAAAAAATATATAAACATTCTCAAGGAAAAATGCTGGAAGAATCCATCTACCTGTACCCCGGAATGGGACTCGAACCCATTCGCGATCCAGGGACTGCTCTAACCAATGAGCTATCTAGGACCCAACAGCTTTGCTACTACAGAGCGTATTTTCATCAATGTTCCGGCAATACATGTAATGACGTGGAAACTGATGCATTTTATCTCGCGTGCCGAAACTAATACAAAAGAAACGCGAGTTTCGGAACGCGACATTAAACTCCTCCAACTATGTATTCTGTGCTCCAACGCACACACGCACATTGTTTTGTGATAGATATGATCTTTGACGTTAGGAACACACCTACATTGCTTAGACAACAGTGAGTGCTTGTAATTTAATATGAACTTTATACCATAGACTACGTTTTAGTTACAAATCATTTGTATGGGAAAAAGAAAAGGGCTATTTTTAGGGTTTTTCCAGCAATAATTCTAATTTTTCTCGCCGTAAAAACCATCCTTGAACTTCAACGAACATTTTAAAAAAAGATTTGGCCAAATTGGTCGAGGCGTTGTTGAGTTATGCGCTTACCAACACATTTTGCGATTCATTTTTATATATATAGATAGATATTCATACATCCTGTATCTCTGATTAACATTAATTATGGTTCATGTTATAGATGATTTTTATAAAACATACCAACCCTATTTTATTATTACCTCTATATATTCAGATCAAAGTTAGTTTCACCTTAATGTTTAAGACAGTGTTATGCTTACTACATTTAGTATATTGTTTATTTTATGAATAAATTAATATATTTGATAAAACCAGTTAAGTTATTTGAATTGATTTATTTTTTACTAAGTCAATAAACACAGTGATTCATTAGTTTTCGACTTAATGAGACTTGAATTGATATATTTATCTGCTATACTACTGACCCATAAATTATTATGTAAATTGAGTACGACGTAAGTTTGTACACAGAGGTCTCGGGTTCTGTATGAGGAATTTGGTGGTATTTTTCTATCGCAATCTGCTATTTTACAAACTGGTGAAAACACGACTCTCGTTTCTGTGTACAGGTATATTTTTTATAATAAAATTATCATACGATATTACTAAACTGCCCTTATATAAGCTTCAAGGTCGTGTGAAGATTATTCGCACGATAACTTTAATACAACGTCAAAGATTATTTAAATGACGGAAGGGTATGGTTCTAATATCCGTAGTAACCCACACTCATTCTCTTAAGTATATTTTATATTATAATTCGTTTAATTAATTAATATTGTTATTATTGTGTTCGCAATGCTATACTCTTTGGGTATGTGGATACTTCTGTGAGAGCTGGTGCGTCTCTTTCGTTCGTTTTTCTTGTCAACCAAATGTCCTGTAGGGTGGCGGGATAAAGAATGTAGAACAAATCAAAAGTACTTTAAATAAAAACTTACTATTGCAATAAAGAATTTTTTGACTTCAAGTTACCGTCGCTAGTTTCCAGGAGTCTCCTCATATCTGTTATAAAATCGGATCAATAATCCTAGATTTCTGGAGGGAACTGTTAATTGGGATGAAAAGTATGTTGATTCAGAGTTAAAATTATACGTATATTATGAAAATTTTCGAAATGAAAGGTATAAAAGGTATTTTCCAGGGTAAATTCTATATTTGCATCGAATTTAAAATCCACTATTAAAATTGATTCAGTGGTATAGGCTTAAAAGTATATCAGACAGACAGAGTTACTTTTGCATTTATATAATATTAGTAGGGATAATATAATTCAACCATGCACACTCGATAATTGGTGGCGCACTAACGATTTCCCTAAAGTGGAAAGTAATGGTTTAACTACTCGTACGAATTACCATGACAACTGAAAGCCTATTCTATTTCTTCTAAAACGAATTTCCGTAATGCTAATACGATTCCACAGAAACCCGTTTTTCGATAATTTATAATATAACGGAGGCAGGTCCTGACACTGTCTTTGATGCATAGATAATCTTCATGGATATGATTTTAACAAATATATACGTACGGTTTGAAATATTCCGAATTTTCGTTCGGCGACAATTAGAATAGGCCCTTAGGTGTCATGTTGATTCGTACGAGTTAAACTAATTAAGCTCGATGGTGCAGTGGTAGCGCATTAGGTCTGCAATTTTTCATTAAGAATATTTTTCAGTAGGTATTAGAACAAATTTTAATTTTTATTGAAAGTTAAAATATTTGTAATAATATTTCTTTCGGCTGTTTGGGTGCCTGAACATTGATGAGAATACGCTCTGTAGCATCGAAAAAGTAACAAGTGCTTGAAAAATTCGTCAGCCCTGTTAGATCCTGGTTAGCTTAGTGGTTAGAGCAATCGCCCAGATTGCGAAAGGTCATGGGTTCGAGTCCCATCTCAGACTTTCTGGGACAAGGTCGATTTTTTATCAAGAAATTTCATCAAGAATATTCTTAATATTTTGTTGTAATTATTTGTATGTCTAATAAAATTTATTTTGTAAAAATGGTTCATATTTACCTAACGTTTAACAGAAACCTGTATTTTCACTTGTAGTTCACAACTCTATTTTATAAATTCACGTTTTGACTGTGACAGAGACGACCCTTATAAATATAATGTAGTTCTCTGATTTTTTATTCCAGCTTTTTAAATAAATTGCTTGTAAAATATTACTCAAGTGAGGAAAAAATATATAGTTCTTTCATGTTATTTAATTACAGTAATATCGTTTTATTATAAACGTAATTTCGTATTCGTTTAAAATATTGCATGTTTGCTCCACATTTTGTTCATAAACTGTACTTAATAATGTTGTCAAGGTATTGTTAACATTGAATTTAATGTTGCATCTCATTATAATCCTATATATATTGTAACTGAGACTACACTGAGAGTGTTTATGAGTGATTTATAAATTCAATGCTGTGATATCTAGTTATCTGAGTACTTAGGTACAAAAATGAATTTGGAATTTGATCTTTTATGATAATAAACTACTCAATTTGCTTTAAGAATCAAAACTGGTGATACTGTTTTTTTTTCATAATTGGACAAACCAAAACTACGCCCATCAGATTCAAGGATTTAATATAAATCTACAACTATATTGGTTTGGTTTTACGCCAACAGTTTTCGCGGAATAATGTAAAATATAATCAAAACTCCTGATTTATCTCGAAAAAACCTAAACAGCGCTTTGTAATGTAAAAGGTCCCCTGATTGGTTTATCTTCACTTTTGATATTGATACTCTATAGCTTAACATGACATGATTACTTATTATGAACCTAACGACTGTAAAAATAAGGGGAATGAGTAAAAACAACCAGCTTATGTAAAAACATGTGTTTTATTTACACTTTGGCAGTGATGGCATGATATTTTGTAAAATTCACAAAGAGAGTTACTGTAGTTGAGACCTTTGTATCGTAAGTTGAGCAAATTTCCGTTGTGGAACGCTATGAGGTTTGACGACGCCGTTTAACTGGCAACATTTAATTCATAGAATCGGTGTTGCCAGTAACCGACAAATGGTAGCATCGTCGGTTAGTGCTGTTACTAACCGATAAGGCTGCCGAACGTTAATAGCCGTTAAAAATAACGTTATCAAAAAAGCTGATATAAAATAACTAGTTTTTCCTAACGTTATTTTTCAACGGCTCAACGATGCCCGTTTACCAGGCACGTAGACCGACGGCGTGAGCGCCGAGACCAAGACCATAGGGTGCGGCGAGACCGACGGGAGCGGCGGCGATGTACGGTGCTGCAAGTGGAACTCCAGGGATGGCTAATAACAAAAAAAAAACACTTCTTATAATATAATCTAAAAATATGATTATATGTATATTAATTTGTGAAGAGGTCACTTAAAACATCCTTTTTATGAAAATAACGACGTAGACTAGCCGTTTTGACCGATCTCCACCTGAAAGTTGGTTTTTCAAAAGGTGTTTAACATCAGCCTCGTATTATTGATATTTATGGAGATAAAAATTATATACGGATTACTGTTTGTTAATAGATGAGTAATTGCTTGCGGTATTAAATTATTAGACAAGGTATACAAAATTGTATGAATGCTATCGATTTGAAGAAATCTTATTTTTTACTCCTATACCACGCCTACGGACATCGCTTGTGCAACAAATTATAAAACCGGAATGTTACGATGAAAATTAGTATTATGAAGTTGAATAAGGTTTGACCGTTTTTAAGCATTTTTTCGGTAGACATAACTTAAACTGTTATCAAACGTTATGTTAGTGAGGTCTAGTATTCTCTAATAATTGGCGCAACAGCTCTTCAGTGTTGTAAAAAACACTATTACCATTGGAATTAACTATAATTAGATTAATAATAATTCGATCGATTAAACTGTAACTAAATAAGGATACTAGCGCTTTTTCATAAAAATATCAGCTGTTTATTGCATGCATAAGTATTTTAAAAATGCGTTTATAATTCCATACTATTATAATATATCCAGATTAAGTGGCATACACCCCAGTTATGAAAGGTCGCTATCTGAAGTTTAGGGTTCGTTTATTTTATATCCCGTCCATAACGCAATGGCTTCTGACTTTTTGATCGGAGCAATGCATGTGATCTGGTCCAACATTAGAAATCTGTTTGTATACTTGTATTCATTGCGGTAGTTACTTACTCAGTTGAGCGACACGAGCGTTAGCGACTCCATCGAGAGCGGCGGCTTGGGACTGGACGGCGGCAACCACATTCTGGCCGGCGGCGACGCTGTTCCAGTAAGCGTTCTCGTTGATGTCGCGAGTGGTTTCAGCGACCTTAGTAAAAACAGTTATTTTGTTAATCAGTTGTTTTGTTAGATGAGCTTTTCGCTTGTATGGTATTCCTTGTTCCTGCAATTTTAATACGTCAAAGAAGGATTTTGTGTAGGAACTAAATAATCTACATTTTCTCTTGGAACGGCACAAGTCCAATACAGTCCGGACGGTGGCCTCTACAATGTCCTATGCCTCTAATATAGCATAAATAACCTGAGTTTGCGCGCACAACTAAATGAGCGATGAGCCCAGCTATTATATTACCTTATTTTACCTCACTAACCACCCTGTCCTGAGAAGGACAGATTGAAGAGTGGTTGGCCTACTTGGTAAAACCCACTGCGGAATACTTAGTGGAGAGGGAAAGGATTTGGAATCCACCAAGAGACCCGCTAGATGCAACCCATTTTGGGGGAGGCAGAAGAAGGGTAATTGCTTATACGCAATTCCCTACCCCTTCCCGTCCGTGCTTGTAGAGAAACTGCACGGTCTCCCATCTAGGCCGCCATAGCTATCCTAGCTATTATATTACCTGGCGGACAGCTTCGGTGTTGTGTAGGACGGCGGCTTCAGCGGCGCGAGCCTGGCCTTCGCCGATAGCGCGCACGGTGTCCTGTGCCGCTACTGTAGCATCAATAGCCGCGGCTTGGGCGTCACCAGGGTTGACGCCCAACACTAGAGGGGAGATCACCCCAGCGGAGGCATAGCCGAGAACGGCGACGAAAGCGACCTAATGAATCAATACATATGATAGTATAATAAGATTTTATTTGGTGTGAATAGGGTAAATTTATAATGGATGGACACTTGACTTACAGATTTCAAGTCTCGCGCATGCGTTTTATAAAAAATGGCAAAAACATTTTTTTATAAATTATGTCAGCTATAATAAAAATGAATTAAAAACAACGCTAAGTTTAAAATTGGACGATTAATTATTTCTAGATTATTTTACGATTTAGAGTTCTAATAAAACGAAAGAAGAAATAATGAAACATTAATTGCATAGCGTTTAAAATTATTATTAACTGATTAATTAACAAGAAACCATTAATTAATGTATAAAGATTTGTAACGGTAAATACTTAATTGATTCGTTTAATCGGGTTGTTTGTATGTAATATCACATGTGAATTTGATTTATGATTTCTAGAACAAAATCCGACATCTATACTTATGCCGACGTAGCATAATACATATTTTTATGATTATTATTAAAGCGATTTTATCTAGAAAGATAATACTTTATAAAGTTTAAAATAGCTCAAACTACAGAGATTTCTAAGTAAGACACGGTACAAACTTATTTAGTAATCTTCAGTATGCCTTATTAATTGTGAAAATAATGCAGAATAGTCTGGAAGATAATTATGTTCCTAACCACACGCATGAATAATCGCGATAATGAAATGAATGCAATGTTTGTTTATGAAATTACACTAATTAATAACTGTTCAATAAAACGCCTAATCAAATTTACAAATAATTCCTAATTTTACGAGTAAATGGTCTCGTTTTTTTGTAAATTCCAGATAAACCGACACTCATTATTAAAAAAAAGTCTTATCTGTATAGAGATTTTCTATTCTGATAAAATTCTATTATTCTTCATTTAAATTTATGCATCGTACATTTCCGTTGGTAATATATTTTGTTGATTATAAATATGGTAATACGTAGTGATTTTTATTACAATCGACCGAAATTTACGTAGCATGGGATTCTTCAGTTAACTTCTAGACAGTTTATTAGAGAACGCACTACGCACTCGATTTTTGTCTGTTACTCTATTTTCACGACAAGCAATAAAATACATATTAATAAAACACCGTAATATGTAGTATGAAGGAGATCCGGCTGCTTAAATCCGTTTATGCGATTTCCATTTGTTATTTTGACGCACTCACTGACAACCATTATTGTTCTATCCTTTAGCTAATGTAAATTAACTAAAAACTTCTTTGTGTTATTTACTGAGCCGTCACAAATCATACAGTCGCATTTACAATATTTTAAAGAGAATTCCTGTCGAGTCCTTGACCCGATGGTACTATGTTTTCGTATGCGTATCACGTCTTTTATATAATGCAAACTGCACCATATTAGGTCGGCCTTCGTGTACCAATTTGTATTGGTCATCCATCTCTGTATATTGTTGCGTTAACGGTTATTATTCCTTAAAAAACTGTTAGCAAAGAGATAGCGATTAAAGTATTATTATGTATAATACATTGCTATAAAAAACATTTGTTCCTGGAGACTTTCGTTTTAAATGAGATGATTTTAATGTTATTATAGTTATACATTTTAAGTCGATAAAGTTTTAGCTAATACAAATTTAATGTAACAATTATTTTTCATTAAAAATATTAAGGGTTAAAGAAATTCACCCATACAGCCTAAGAAAATGTTTAGAGATGATAATTATGTATCTAATCTAATGTTTTTATTTTCAATTAGCATTTCGATTATAATCCTATTAATATTATAAATGTGAAAGTTTCTTTGTTTGGATGTTTGTCGGTCAATCACGCCGAAACTACTGAAAGGATTTTAATGAAATTTGGTATACAGATAGGGTATTAGCTGACTTAGATAATAGGATTACTTTTTATCCCACTTAACATTTCCCTAGGGTCCACGAGGGCGAAGCCGCTGGCGAAAGCTAGTTTTCTATAATAAGATTCTATTTTACTACTTTTAAATCCGTGTTCAATTGTAGTAGCAATTAGTCATCTAATTGATTTGAATAGATATTTAATTTGTAATTGGCGCGACCAACACTCGTTATAACATGACATCGCACCTTTTTTGCTGTACGTACACTGTGGGACATATACGGCGTTTGATTGACATAATGACATTGAATACAAATAAGAATTATATTTGCAATTCGTACTTTAATTTCAAGGGCTTGAAATTTAATTCGTTATCAACAAGAAGTCATAAATATTAATCGTATTCCGTTATCAATATAATCGTTAAATAAAAGCAATATATTAATTAACCTGTACAAAGTTTTTATTTCAGTATGTTTATGATATTTCCACTATGATTAGATAATTATTGAAGTTTTAAATAAAAAAAAAACACGAGAAAATCACTTCTATTTTCCAAATATCACTGTTAATTAAGTTTGAGATTCCATTGCTTTGTTTGATTAAGAAAAAAAATATTGCAATTGAAAAAGAGCGCGAAGCGTCCTTTTTTATATACAAACAAAAGCGCGCAAAAATTTACCGCGTGCGTTCCGTTATCACTTGAGATGATAATAAATTTAAAAAAAGAAATCGTACCAGAAATCTCATCGTGCACTTCTTGTTCAGACTACGCGATGGCTACTGAATACTGGTGGTGTACGCGCCAGCTCTTTTATACTAGCACAGAATAGTGCAGTATTGTATCGAAAGTACCAGTACTGATATTGCCATAGACATATGGAACGTATAGATGTTCTCCTTGCTTGTAAATTTTATGTACATAGTAAACAATGAAAAATGGCGTAGTCGTTAACTTCCGCTCTTGTAAGGAATCCTTAAGGATTTTGGTTTAGATTTGGTCGAGGAATTTGATTATATAAGAACGTCGTAATGCATATAAAATTGTAATAAGTTTCTTTGTATGTATAAAATTTGGGAGTTAGTGTCACTTATTTCGGCTAATAAATCCTGTTCTTTTTTTTCGTTGTCAGCTCATTAAGATGTAATTAATTATAATAAGAAATTCCAAGTGTGCACTCTATTTTTGTGTTAAATTTACATAAAAATTATTAAGGTTTTTAATAAATGAATGAATGAATGATGAATGAATGAAATGAAATGAAATGAAATGAAATGAAATGAAATGAAATGAAATGAAATGAAATGAAATGAAATGAAAATATCTTTATTCAAGTAGGCTATTACAAGCACTTTTGAATCGTCCAATAAACTTTTTTCCCCTACCACTTGTTCAGGACGTCTTTTAGCTGACAAGAGGAACAAGCGAAAGAAACTTACCAGCTTTTTATCATAAGTTGTGAAATGACATTTACATAAATCATAAATCATATTATCACAATAGTAAATACAACTTTCAAAGTCTGTAGGACATAGGTTGAACATATAATTAGAACAAAGCGAAGGCTATTAATTCCATGCATTGCGATCCTTAAAATAATCATCAACTTTATAATAGCCTTTACTCATAAGTATATTCTTTACATGAATTTGAAATTTATTTATGGGTAGGTCAATTACATTTTGTGGAACTTTATTGAACATAGCAATACATTTACCCAGAAATGATCCTCTGGTTTTTTGAAGTCTGAAGCTTGGAACGGCAAGTTTATTTTTATTTCTTGTGTTAAGATTATGAACACTACTTTTTTTTGTGAAGGAATCGTAATGTTTTCTTGTGTACATAATATTCTCATAGATGTATTGAGAGGCAACAGTCAGAATATTTATTTCTTTAAATATTTCTCTGAGAGATTCCCTAGACCGTAAATTATATATAGCACGGACAGCTCTCTTTTGTAGAATAAAAATATCCTGAATGCTAGCCGCAGAACCCCACAACAATATACCATACGTCATTACACTACGAAAATAACTAAAATATACCAATCTTGCCGTTTAAATTTTTTTCAAGAGTCTAATTTTCTTAACAGCAAAAGCTGCAGAACTCAGTCTACTTGACAAGCTATCAATATGAGGATCCCATTGCAGTCGGGAATCTATTATTATTTATAATAACAACGGACGTGATAACTAATATCCTAACTGGAATTTAAAATATACATATTATGGTACAAAAATAGGCCTTTTATTGACAGACAGACAATTGAGATATATTAAAGTGATTACGTATCTATTACATATGTAAAAGAATGCGCCGAAAGCAAGTAATTTTATAGTTCTTTGTACACAAACATATCAACCACCACATGAGCGGTACACGTCCAATCGTCAGTATAATGTCATCTGTAATTTTTTGCGATGTATCAAGAAAATTTGTTTCATCTATATTCATCTGCTTTGTTGTGCGATCACTATTAAAGGGTCTCGTTGCCACCGTTTAGGCAAGTAGCATAAGTATAGTAAAAAGCAAAAGTTATAATTTACAATAAAGTATATTTTTTTTATTGACAATAATGATATAAAGAAAAAGCTTATCTTTCTAATTAATACGAAAAAAACCATAAAGAAAACTCAATGTATCTCATGTGTATTTTCGTATATCCCAAAAACCAAAATCACCGTGTGAGTATTTTGTACATTAAAAAGAAATTCTCAAATAGGTAGTCATCAAATGATACTCTTACTAATGAATGTCATTACATTTTTATCATTTAAATTAGATTGGATCTATTAGTTTTTTATATGTTTTTAAATGAACATGATTTTGATACAATGTGGCATACAGAAAAGGGTTAGAATATTTTAGTATAGAGTTTGTAAATCAGAAAAATTAAAAACCGGCAAAGTACAAGTCGGACTCTCGCACGGTGTTCCGTTTATATCATTATCGATATATAAAAAAAAAAAATCATCACGTTTTTTGTATGAATACTATGGTGTTTGTTACTATTTTATTTAAAAAACATAATCTGTGAAAATTAATGTATTTCACGCATATGAAGATTGTCCTATCTAAACGTGCTGTGGTCTGCTTTTAGTAATAGTTGATCAATCGTATGGGCCCGCCCATCCTTACCTCAACCCTATAATGTCGTATGAAATGGAATATGAAACTGAAAATATTTTTCAACGAATAATCACCGGACAGCGATGTGAACGATTCGAACTCTAATGCTTATTAAATAAGGAATAAAGTAGATTGGAGATATTTAACATTTTTGTATAACCGGATAAATGCTGTTTACTATACATAAATACTAGCTATAAACCTAAACCTTTGCCATGCTTCTCTGTGGCCAAATTTGTTGAGTTCCCGTGAAAATTTAGAAATAAAATACCCGGAGGACAAATTAAAACATTTTATGAAATCGAAATTCATTTCATCAATTAAACTTGACCATTTTTATCATCTGTTTCAATCCATCAGAAAGATATTTTGTAAACGATTAAATTAGTACTATTTTATATTAAAATCAAATAAATAGATATATTTCGTAGTACCAGGTTTAAACCATTGACCGCCTAAAGCTAATTGAAAACAGAAGAGAAAACATCATATTCTCAATACGACGTTATCTCTTCTGTTGTTCAATTAACTTCAGGCGGTTAATGATTTAAAGCAAATTCTAACTTTTATCCTCGTTTTTTATTAAGACTTATTACCTTTTGTAAACGGGATGGGTGCACTTACTATCCGGGTAACTTTAGCGACGCCAACAAATTTCCCAAGCATTTTAACTTTCCTACTATTTATATTACTAGCGTATTTTCATCAGTGTTCTGAAAACCTAATTTAACCACCGAAAGATATATTTTAACAAAGCTGAAAATTATTCTCCCAGCATCTATTGAAATTTTAACACAATAAATGATTAAGTAATAATGATATTAAATATAATTCTTAAACGTAAGCTATTTAGAACTAATCTAGAATTATTTAATTATATCTAAAATTGTATAGAGTCAAGATTTAATTGAAAAGGTTCCGATTTAAAAAATTCTTTCACCCACGGGAAGCTACATCATACGCAAGTGACGTAGACTCTTGACGCGGGCGTAGTCGCATAATGTCTAAAATTTAACATAAAACCAACATTACTAAAGACTATATTCTTCTAATTATTGACATTTAGTTAACAAAAGTATCAACCGGTACCTAGTGTGTGTGTGTGCTATTTATATTTATTAAATTGGTGTATAATTAAGCGTTATGATTAAAATTCAAGTTGCATTCTGTAGTTATTTCATTCCATACTAAGGTTTCCTAAAACAGCCCCTCCCTCACCCCGCCCGGACCCGGTAAGCCCGATAGAGAGCGATAATAATGGTAAAAATTAATAAAATATTAGAGATTTTTTTCAAAACTACACCCTGTGACCTCGATATGTCATCCTGAAGTGCATATTTCCAGAGTTTACAAGACTATTCATACTCCTTTTGTGCAATACGTAATATAAAACAAAGTTCCTTTCTATCTGTTTGTCCCTGTGTGTGCTTAGATATTTAAAACTACGTTTACAGGGTGATTGAAAATTAAGTTTTTTTATGTATAATAACAAGACAACGCAGGCGAAACCGCTGGCGGAAAACTTGTTAATAAACATAAACCAACTAGCTGTTTTACCGCGATTTTGCCCCCGTAAATTATAGCCTATGTCACCCGCGTATGATATAATTACCAGTAGGTTTAAGAATTTTTAAAATCGGTCCAATAGTTTTGTAACTAACCATCAAATCTTTCGTCTTTATATTGTATATATAGATATTGTAAAGTTTATGTGATCACTTTTTGTCATATGTAAATGAAAAAAAAACTGATTGTCCTGTCTACTAGATAATAAAGCGTATGTTGAATGATACGCAGGCTGATGCATTGGGTGGAGCAGGAAGCTCGATGGGCGGCATATAAAAAATACTGTCACTTACTATTGACATTTAAGACGAGGTGTGCGAAACGAGTTTTGTTACAAATACTTAGTCCTAGATAACAACTGAGATTCGATATGCCTATACCTTTGTTGTTCTAATTAGGAAGCGTTGAATGGAACTTTAATATTAATTCCTCTACAATTTTGGTATGTACAGCAGAACAAAATATCAAATTACCGAAATAAGTTATATCAAAATAGATCTTAGAAATTTTACACTTTAATACGTTATTGTTATGTAGTATGAGCTTCGGCATCTTTATCTATTATAATTAACTAGCTTTCCGCCAGACGCTTCGCGCTTTCTGTATTATACATATAAACCTTTATCTTGAATCAGTCTGTATGTGTTGTTGAAAACCGTATTTAAAATTCGTTGTGTAGTTTAAAAGATATCAGCGTACCGACAGCGGAAAGCGACTTTGTTTTGTACTATGTATACCTATAGATACATGATGCAACAACGGTCTAGGATACGGTTGTTAAGCATCTTTTGCAAGGGCCGGTCATAGGATGGGTGACCCAAAAATTTTCTATCTTGATTTCCATGCTTCTGGAGGTAGGTAGGTTAAGCCGTCGATCCTGGAAGCGTCTGCGGCCGTTAACACCCGCCAATCCAAACTGGGGCGGGCGTTGTGATTGGTCGTGGCCCATTTTCCCTATTCAATCCGTTTGACGCGATGGCTCTGGAGGGGAAGCTTGTGCGTTAGTTATTTATTATTAAGACGTATGTTTTTGCACTCATTACAGTAAAGAGTTACTGATATCGCTTATGAAATAATGTAAAGATTTCTTTTC